GTTTGCCATTACAATGGTGACTTATCTTCAGATCTTGCTTTGCTGTATCTAAAAATTGCATTTCCTCTTAGCGAAGAACTGCAGAATGCTGTGGTAGCCATGCTGGTTAAGTGTGCCTTGAGTTCTAAATAAATCACAGACAGTGTCACCAGCAAAGGACCCCCACACCATAACACCTCCTCCTCCATGCTTTACGGTGGGAACTACACATGCAGAGATCATATGTTCACCCACACCGCGTCTCACAGAGACACGTCGGTTGGAACCAAAAATATCCAACTTGGACTCCAGACCAAAGGATACATTTCCACAGGTCTAATGTCCATCACTCGTGTTTCTTGGCCCAAGCAAGTCTCTTCTTCTTATTGGTGTCCTTTAGCAGTGGTTTCTTTGCAGCAATTCGACCATGAAGGCCTGATTCACACTGTCCCTCTGAACAGTTCATGTTGAGATGTGTCTGTGACTTGAACTCTGTGAAGCATTTATTTGGGCTGCAATTTCTGAGGTTGGTAACTCTAATGAACTTATCCTCTGCAGCAGAGGTAACTCTGGGTATTCCTTTCCTGTGGCGGTCCTCATGAGAGCCAGTTTCATCATAGCGCTTGATGGTTTTTGCGACTGCACTTGAAGAAACGTTCAAAGTTCTTGAAATGTTCCGTATTGACTGACCTTCATGTCTTAAAGTAATGATGGACTGTCATTTCCCTTTGCTTATTTGAGCTGTTCTTGCCATAATATGGACTTGGTCTTTTACCAAATAGGGCTATCTTCTGTATACCACCCCTACCTTGTCACAACACAACTGATTGGCTCAAACGCATTAAGAAGGAAAGAAATTCCACAAATTAACTTTTGAGAAGGCACACCTGTGAATTGAAATGCATTCCAGGTGACTACCTCATGAAGCTGGTTGAGAGAATGCCAAGAGTGTGCAAAGCTGTCATGAAGGCAAAGGGTGGCTATTTGAAGAATCTCAAATATAAAATATATTTTGATTTGTTTAACACTTTTTTGGTTACTACATAATTCCATATGTGTTATTTCATAGTTTGATGTCTTCGCTATTATTCTACAATGTAAAAAATAGTAAAAATAAAGAAAAACCCTTGAATGAGTAGGTGTGTCCAAACTTTTGACTGGTAGTGTATATGCCATGCCATTTAAACACAGTTGCAAGATTACATCTGACAATGCAAACTATCTACAAAACAAACAGACATTAGTTAGTGTTGTTGCAATCTGTAAGAAAAGCAAATAATGTGTGAATCTAGTTGTAACCTGGATTCCTATCTTAATATCATTAGAGACCAGATGGAACAAAACATACATCTATGTCTGGTATTTATGGAACATCACTCCTTGTCAATGACTCAAATGAAATGTTTTAATGCAACTTAGTTTTTGTCCTTTCACTGGAGATAGGACTATGGTCTATTACCTACAGGTTTATAGACTGTATAACCTCAATTTGTGTATGTTTAGATTCTAGCCGGTCTTATATGTAATGAAAAGAGAAATATAGAGAACAGTTAGCTAAACACACTAAGCTTCGATTACAAATATTGAATATGAAGCATTAAATAAATGTTTTTTAATTCTAATTCTCTCTCTGAGAGTATACATTCTGCATGTTTGATGATGGCGTGATCTGGTTCCATTTCCAGAATGTTCATGCTGTACTGTACAGGGGAAACGCTATATGTTGAGATATCAGTTTATATAAGGACAGAAAGCCGCGTTAAACCCATAACAGCATCTCTACCATGGTCATATACCCATAACAGCATCTCTACCATGGTCATAAACCCATAACAGCATCTCTACCATGGTCATAAACCCATAACAGCATCTCTACCATGGTCATAAACCCATAACAGCATCTCTACCATGGTCATAAACCCATAACAGCATCTCTACCATGGTCATAAACCCATAACAGCATCTCTACCATGGTCATAAACCCATAACAGCATCTCTACCACGGTCATATACCCATAACAGCATCTCTACCATGGTCATAAACCCATAACAGCATCTCTACCACAGTCATAAACCCATAACAGCATCTCTACCACAGTCATAAACCCATAACAGCATCTCTACCACAGTCATAAACCCATAACAGCATCTCTACCACGGTCATAAACCCATAACAGCATCTCTACCACAGTCATTAATGATTGAACAGACTTGTGTGTGAGTCACTTTCACTGTCTGTAACAGTTACATCATGTGTCGTCATTGATCACGATCAGTAGCATTGATTAGCCTAATAATCAATCAGAATGATTGAACAATCTTAAATGTTAGGATTGACCTAGAGTAGACCTCAAAATGGTTGGATTACACCAAGCACAATAATGCCTCTGTTTTACCTTGGAAAGGCACATTGTTATTTATTAATCTGATATGGTAACCAAGGTTACATCTGTGATGATCAGATGGCCTGCACACTACACTCACAGAGAAACGTCTGTCTGTCTGTCCTTAAAGTGAATCTATCAGCTTCTGGCTGGACAGGTGATGATCTCTGAGGTCATTCATCTCCATGATGGGGCTTCTGAAATGTTGTCTTTCAAGTTGCTCAGGACTGGTGCAAGTTGAAGGAGGAAGAGTTTGCCATTACAATGGTGACGTTATCTTCAGATCTTGCTTTGCTGTATCTAAAAATGGCATTTCCTCTTAGCGAAGAACTCATAGTACCTGTAAGAACAAGAAGCTCTCGATCTGTCAGTGCTCATTTTACATTTACAGTTTTAGTCATTTAGCAGATGCTCTTATCCAGAGCGACTTACAGTTAGTGAGTGCATTCATTTTCATACTGGCCCCCCCCGTGGGAAACGAACCCACAACCCTGGCGTCATGCTCTACCAACTGAGCTACAGGAGACTCATAGTACTCAAGAAGCTCTTGATCTGTCAGTACTCATTAGCATGTGAGTGGCCTTACTTTACACTTTACATTATATGACGTAATGCAAATGTGGTAACAAATGGTCTTTATTTTTCATGTTATCCAGTTAAATGTAACTAAATGTTATCGAAAATGTAATCTACGTAATCTCCAAAAGTAATTGTTTATTATGAGAGGGATACACTGTCATGCTGCATACTCAAAGCAAGGTTCATATCTCACCTTTCTGGTAAAAATAGTTATAAATTGCTGAGGTCTAATCACTTTTGAGGACACAAGCTCCAGTACACAGTACAAATATACTAAAAATATGAAATTATTAAATATTTTATATGATGGATTTACTATTCAGCAAAACTGTATGAATAAGGCTTGAAATGACTTATATGCTTTCTAAATATAGCATAAGCAAATTATAAAATGACTAACTATAAGATTTCACCTCCCTTATAACTGTAAAATACGTATTTGTATGTTTAGTGTTAGAGAAAATATGCAATATTCTCTCTTGATCAAAACGTCTGCCCCCAATCGCTGTGAACGTCTCACAGAGCTTTAGCTTTGCTTCCTGGAACTCGTTGGGGACTCGCCTTTCATCTCATATTCATCTTGTCAGTCTATGACAGGGATGGGCAACTGGTGTAGGCCCGCGGACCAATACAAACATTTTTAAATAAGAATATTGTATTTATTTTGGGGAACTCAGTCAGGGTCTCAACTTCCTGTTGAGAGTTAGAATAATAGAATACATAAGGTGGAATTTTGAAATGTGGTTGTGCCTCATCAGCCATAACTCAATTAGCCCAGGTCAGCAACATTGTTTTAGATTGGTAAATTAGTCAAGCGGTCAGCTATCTAAACTTGTAATAAGCATGGTCGAATTACCGACCGGTGTGGGGCCCATTGATCATCAGTTATCATATTAAAAACGGCAAACATTTGCCTCCAACCCTATTGCAAAATGTATAGAATTACAGGAAATTAGCTGTAAAACTGCACATTTTTCTCTCCGCCCCATGGCAAAATGAGTAGAATTGCATGAAATGCGTTAGACTTTTCTTTTTGGTGGACCCCACCCCCATCAAAGTTGCCCATCCCTGGTCTATGACAAACAGAGAAAGTGTTTGTTTAAAATCGATGAATTATTTTAATCAATCTCTGAATGTGCTACCGTGATGAAACCACGCTCTCCTGCTGCGCTACGATGTAACGATTGCAGGCATGTGCCTTGTCCGTGGCTGTGATGTTGGATTCAGCCAGGAGTTGATGGACAGTCGGAAGAGCGAATGAAATGGTAGGAGGGACAACCCAGCTTCAAGTGGTTTCAGATTTCACATCCTGCGTCACACAGGCTCAGGAAAAAAATACTACTGTGTCCGTGGGAACCGGGGCTATCGCTCAATGCAAGCCATTTCCATCTACTGAATCCACAGATCGATGTATAAGTGAAAATGTAGGTCGGAACCAGTACCAGAACCATGCAGGTCCTTACATCTGAGGTTTGCTGACCTTCTGTTTAGAAATGTCATTAGTGATGTTGTATCAGTCCTGTCCATGATAGCCTCTATGAAATAAACTGTTGTAGTCGGTCTTAAATGAAGAAACAATACTTTTAAAGGAAGAAACAAGACTTTTAATCAATTTGACTTTATCAATGTTGCGAGGAATACATCATGATTTGATTGTCATTGCCTTAAAATGTTGACTGCATACATATGTGTCAACTATGCTGGAATGCTGGAAATCATGTTGAGGCCCTCTGCTTCACTAGGAGCTGTTGAGGCCCTCTGCTTCACTGTTGAGGCCCTCTGCTTCACTAGGAGCTGTTGAGGCCCTCTGCTTCACTAGGAGCTGTTGAGGCCCTCTGCTTCACTAGGAGCTGTTGAGGCCCTCTGCTTCACTAGGAGCTGTTGAGGCCCTCTGCTTCACTAGGAGCTGTTGAGGCCCTCTGCTCCTCTGTTGAGGCCCTCTGCTTCACTAGGAGCTGTTGAGGCCCTCTGCTCCACTAGGAGCTGTTGAGGCCCTCTGCTCCACTGTTGAGGCCCTCTGCTCCACTAGGAGCTGAAAGGTATAAGTCAAGTAACTCAATGCTATATATTGCAGCCTTTCCCATCCTTGAGTTCCTCCTAACAGGCCTTGAGAACAAAGCTGAGAGGGAGAGGAGGTAAATCTCTGTCTGTTCTGACTGTTGTTAGAACTTGTTCAATGTTATGGGCCCTGGTCTAAAGTAGTATTAATGTGCCATTTGATACCAGGTCCTGGATGTCAGGAAGCTTGGCCCCAGTGATGTACTGGGCCATACGCACTACCCTCTGTAGTGCCTTGCGGTCGGAGGCCGAGCAGTTGCCATACCAGGCAGTGATGCAGCCAGTCAGGATGCTCTCGATGGTGCAGCTGTAGAACCTTTTGAGGATCTGAGGACCCATGCCAAATCTTTTCAGTCTCCTGAGGGGGAATAGGTTTTGTTGTGTCATCAGCAAACTTAATGATGGTGTTGGAGTCGTGCCTGGCCATGCAGTCATGGGTGAACAGGGAATACAGGAGGGGACTGAGCACGCACCACTGAGGGGTCCCCGTGTTGAGGATCAGCGTGGCGGATGTGTTGTTAACTACCCTTACCACTTGGGGGCGGCCCATCAGGAAGTCCAGGATCCAGTTGCAGAGGGAGGTGTTTAGTCCCAGGGTCCTTAGCTTAGTGAAGAGTTTTGAGGGCACTATGGTGTTGAACGCTGAGCTGTAGTCAATGAATAGCATTCTCACGTAGGTGTTCCTCTTGTCCAGGTGGGAAAGGGCAGTGTGGAGCGCAATAGAGATTGCATCATCTGTGGATCTGTTGGGGCGGTATGCAAATTGGAGTGGGTCTGGGGTTACTGGGATAATGGTGTTGATGTGATCCATGACCAGCCTTTCAAAGCACTTCATGGCTACCTATTGACTACTGACAAGACAAGAGGGAAGTAGTGAACCTATTGACAAGACAAGAGGGAAGGAATGAACCTATTGACAAGACAAGAGGGAAGTAGTGAACCTATTGACAAGAGGGAAGTAGTGAACCTATTGACAAGACAAGAGGGAAGTAGTGAACCTATTGATAAGACAAGAGGGAAGTAGTGAACCTATTGACAAGAGGGAAGTAGTGAACCTATTGACAAGACAAGAGGGAAGTAGTGAACCTATTGATAAGACGGAAGTAGTGAACCTATTGACAAGACAAGAGGGAAGTAGTGAACCTATTGACAAGACAAGAGGGAAGTAGTGAACCTATTGACAAGACAAGAGGGAAGTAGTGAACCTATTGTCAAGACAAGAGGGAAGTAGTGAACCTAACACTCAGACAGGTTCAGATCTGGTCAGGCAACATTTCTCCTGAAGAAGACAAGATGCCTCATTGTTTTGAGTTTCACTACTGATGTAGGGCTGATTACAGTCTGTGATTCTTCACAGAGCAGTCAGGCACTCTACTCAGAATTTACAAATCATACATGAATATAATGCGAAAGGAGAATTAGGTGCAAGGAAGATCTCCTTAGCCAGGCATGTTGTTTGGGATATTATGGAAAATCAGGGAACACGCCAAGGTTGCTGCCTCAACTGGATGCTGAAAGCTTGTAACACAAAATTGTATGTATTCTTATATTCGTGTAATGCCTAAGATGCTGGTGAAGGATTATTAGGCTTATTATCATCCCAAATGGCACCCTATCTCCTAGTGCACTACTTTTTGACCAGAACCATATGGGCCCTGGTCAAAAGTAGTGCACTACATAGGGAGCCATTTGGGATGCAGATATATGCTCATTAGCAGGCTGTTACAGGGGGTAGTATAATCCGTTTGGCATTGCTTTAAAGTGCCATGGATGTGACATAACCCCAAGTTAAACCACATGGGTGGGAACGATGTGATCTGCATCAGATTTTATATAAATCGGATTCAACTCTTGTAATCTTTGTCATTCTGTAATAAGTAACTTGACACAGTCCAAGAACAATAAGTGTTGTTTACTGGACGAATGGAAGTCTTGGGATCCCAATTAAATGTTGTCATTTTAGAGGCTATACAGAACGTTTGCCTACTATTGGGTCAAAAGGGGTCCCCCTAAATGGACAGAAATATTGTCCATAGATGTCCTCATTAGAATGAAAGGGGCACAGCTCTCCACACCCCTGAGGTTTTTATATGCATTGGATTAGTCTATTTTCTAGCTAATATTATGACTTTGGATGTGTTTAAACCCCTTGATTCAAAAGACATGTAGCCTGGAGTCACAACCAGCTATATCTCTCTCTAATCTAAACTCCTAATCCACTGAATGTGGGGAAGAACGGGGAGTTTCCTTGCTAAACTGATACAAACACTAAGATACTTCATAATTTCATGTTTAGACAGGATCGTTGTGAAATGTGACTGGTTCCATTACTTTCCTTTGAGTCATGACTCTGAAAGCATCATTCTGGCAGTGTATCAGTGAGTGGAACGCATATATTTATTTATTTATTTAACCTTTATTTAACTAGGCAAGTCAGTTAAGAACAAATTCTTATTTACAATGACAGCCTACACCGGCCAAACCCGGACGACGCTGGGCCAATTGTGCGCCGCCCTATGGGACTCCCGATCACGGCCCGGTTGTGATACAGCCTGGAATCGAACCAGGGGGGTCTGTAGTGACGCCTCAAGCACTGAGATGCAGTGCCTTAGACCGCTGCGCCACTCGGGAGCATAAAGCGGAGCTTGAAGCTATCTCTGTCTCGCTCTGTCTCTCTCTGTCAGTGGACAAAACAGGCCGCACCACAGAACAGAACTGCACTGTGCAAATGGTTAAGCTACTGATCGATTTCAATTGATTGATATCTGAGCTCAGATCTTGTTGCCACTTGTCCTAACTCTAACCGAGCAGCAGAATGGGTGGCTGTGATGAAGCGAGTATAAAGAGAGGCTGTTCTAGCTAGGGTCAACACCTCGTTCTCACTCAGGTTTCGTCCCAAATGGCACCCTATTCCCTACATAGTGCACTACTTTAGACCAGAGCCCTATGGACCCTGTGCACTATGTAGGGAATAGGGTGCCATTCTCTGGTCCTAAAGTAGTGCACTATATCTATTAGACCGGAATGGCACCCATTCCTTATAGTGCACTACTTTAGACAGAGAATGTGCACCCTATCCCTAATAGTGCACTACTTTAGACCAGAGAATGGCACCCTTCCTACATAGTGCACTACTTTAGACCAGAGAATGGCACCCTATTCCCTAATAGTGCACTACTTTAGACCAAGAATGGCACCCTATTCCTACATAGTGCACTACTTAGACCAGAGAATGGCACCCTATTCCCTACATAGTGCACTACTTAGACAGAGAATGGCGCCCTATTCCCTACAAGTTGCACTACTTAGACCAGAGAATGGCACACTATTCCCTACATAGTGCACTTTAATTGACCAGAGAATGGCACCCTATTCCCTATATGTGCACTACTTTAGACCGGCCCTATGGACCCTGTGCACTACTGTGTGGAATAGGGAGCCATTTGGGACACACCCAGTCTGTTCTAACCAGGGCCCTGTCAACATCCTGTCCACACCTTGGTCAACATCCTGTCAACACCTTGGTCAACATCCTGTCCACACCTTGGTCAACATCCTGTCCACACCTTGGTCAACATCCTGTCCACACCTTGGTCAACACCTTGTTCAATTATCCTGTCAACACCTTGTTCAACATCCTGTCCACACCTTGGTCAACACCTTGTCCACACCTTGGTCAACATCCTGTCACACCTTGGTCAACATCCTGTCCACACCTTGGTCAACACCTGTCCACACCTTGGTCAACACCTGTCACACCTTGGTCAACACCTTGTTCAATATCCTGTCAACACCTTGTTCAACATCCTGTCCACACCTTGTTCAACACCTTGTTCAACATCCTGTCCACACCTTGTTCAACACCCTGTCAACACCTTGTTCAACACCCTGTCAACACCTTGTTCAACACCCTGTCAACACCTTGTTCAACATCCTGTCACACACCTTGTTCAACATCCTGTCCACACCTTGTTCAACACCTTGTTCAACATCCTGTCCACACCTTGTTCAACACCTTGTTCAACACACTGTCAACACCTTGTTCAACACCTTGTTCAACACCCTGCCAACACCTTGTTCAACACCTTGTTCAACACCCTGCCAACACCTTGTTCAACACCTTGTTCAAGATCCTGTCAACACCCTGCCAACACCTTGTTCAACACCTTGTTTAACACCTAGTTCAACACGCTGTCAACACCTTGTTCAACATCTTGTTCAATACCTTGTTCAACACCCTGTCAACACCTTGTTCAACTATCTGTCAACATCTTGTTCAACACCTTGTTCAACACCTTGTTCACACTCATACAGAAAAGGCTCTGACAAAGAATGTTGAACATTGGAAAGTTTGGGACAATGTGCAAACAAAACACTCAATCATGTTCTCTCCTCATTTTAAATTTTAGGCAAACAAACAATACAAGTTGTGATAAGAGCGTCTGCTAAATGACTAAAATGTCAATGTAATGGTAATATAATGGTAATGTAATGGTAATGGTAATATAATGGTCATGTAATGGTCATGGTAATGTAATGACAATGTAATGGCAATGTAATGGTAATGTAATGGTCATAGTAATGTAATGTAATGTAATGACAATGTAATGGTAATATAATGGTAATGTAATGGTAATGTAATGGTAATGTAATGTCTAATACACGTCTTTTGAAAATGTTCTCTTCTTTGTTTCTCACAGGAAAAGGTGTCCAGATGCGACGCGCCAAACAGTAAAGGTTACCCTCCTGTACCCCTCTTCCCTGTCATCTCATTCTGCTCCTCCTGCACTTCCTGCTCATCCAGAACCGACTATTGGTACCGTTGGATCCTCCCTGGGGTCCCCAACCCCCACTCGGGCGGTTGACAAATCCCCGCTTTTCCCCTCCTCTCTGCTGCCCCGGTCCCCGTCCCTGAACCTCTTCTCCCCATTCCTTGACCCACTGGCCCCCGTCCCTGGCAACATGTCCATTGCCCTGAAGCAGGTCTTCAAAAAGGACAAGACCTTCCGGCCCAAGCGTAAGTTTGAGCCGGGGACGCAGCGCTTCGAGCTGCATAAGAAGGCCCATGCGTCGCTGAGCTCCGGCGTTGACCTGAGGGCGGCGGTAGCTCTGCCCCACGGGGAGGATCTGAACGACTGGGTGGCCGTGCACGTGGTCGACTTCTTCAACAGGATAAACCTCATCTACGGGACGGTGTGTGAGTTCTGCACAGAGAAGAGTTGTCCGGTGATGTCCGGTGGGCCGAGGTATGAGTACCGATGGCAGGACGATCACAAGTATAAGAAACCCACGGCTCTACCGGCTCCCAAGTACATGAACCTGCTGATGGACTGGATCGAGGTCCAGATCAACAATGAGGATATCTTCCCCACCAGTGTAGGTGAGTACTCTGGGTAACTATATGTACATCACCGACACTCAACAGGCCCAGACAGGGTCTTTATTTAGGAACTCAGTCAGGCCTCTGCCCCTGGTACACAAAAGACATGGTCAAATGTGTAGCATTCCAGGAAATGAGCTTTAATAAAGTGAAACATCTTCGCCCCACCAAGCACTAGCAGTGTGGGGGTAATATCACTGAGCAAGCCAAGCCAGTAAAAAAAAAATCCATATTACAAACCTATGTTGTGATAATTGCGTTGTTTGCTCTACAACCCGTCGTTCATACGCCACCGTGTGTCACGTTCGTTGAAGGACGGGTCAGACCAAGGCGCAGCGTGATATGCGTACATGTTTATTTTAACTGTTAAACACACGACAAAACAACAAAGGATAACGAAACGTGAAGTCCAAGGTAGCACGCACACACACAACATACCTTACACGGAACAAGATCCCACAACTAGACAGTGCCAATAGGCTGCCTAAGTATGGTCCCCAATCAGAGACAACGAGCGACAGCTGCCTCTGATTGGGAACCACACAGGCCAACATAGATCCACACATACTAGATCGACAACATAGACAAAGCACAACAAGGAATATACACACCCTGACTCAACATATAAGCGTCCCCTGGGCGTGACACCGTGAAAAAAAGACAAGTCACACAGTGGCGGAATAAATTCAACTACACGTACGTTTGTTTCACCACAAAAACGGAGAGCAACATCTGTCCGGTGAAGTCCACGCAGCGAATATGGCACGTAACAAACAGTTACATGACCTGCAACATGGTCCAGCAAGTTCACGTTTTCAACAGTTTACTAAACAACTATTGATTTAGAACCACGGAGAGTTACCGCAAGTCAGCACAAAGACAACAGGAGCACTGCCTCCGCTATTCCAGCACCATTTCAACTTCAACATTTAAACATCATCAAATCAACAAGGCTATATATGTTTATTTTAATACATTAAAAACAAAAAATGATTTAGTCCAATGAATGTTGCTAAAAATATTGTGGCTGTCTATGGTACTGATTTCTGTGTGTCTGTGTGTGTTTTGTATTTATTTTTTATTTCACCTTTATTTAACCAGGTAAGAAGCCAGTTGAGAACAAGTTCTCATTTACAACTGCGACCTGGCCAAGATAAAGCAAAGCAGTGCGATAAAAACAACAACAACACACAGAGTTACATATGGTGTAAAATAAAATATAAAGTCAAAAATACAACAGAAAATATATATACAGTGTGTGCAAATGTAGTAAGTTATGGAGGTAAGGCAATAAATAGGCCATAGTGCAAAATAATTTCAATTTAGTATTAACACTGGAGTGATAGATGTGCAGAAGATGATGTGCAAATAGAGATACTGGGGTGCAAATTAGCAAAATAAATAACAATATGGGGATGAGGTAGTTGGGTGGGCTAATTACAGATGGGCTGTGTACAGGTGCAGTGATCGGTAAGCTGCTCTGACAACTGATGCTTAAAGTTAGTGAGGGAGATAAGAGTCTTCAGCTTCAGAGATTTTTTGCAGTTCATTCCAGTCATTAGCAGCAGATAACTGGAAGGAATGGCGGCCAAATTAGGTGTTGGCTTTGGGGATGACCAGTGAGATATACCTGCTGGAGCGCAGACTACGGGTGGGTGTTGGTATGGTGACCAATGAGCTAAGATAAGGCTGGGATTTGCCTAGCAGTGATTTATAGATGACCTGGAGCCAGTGGGTTTGGCGACGAATATGTAGTGAGGGCCAGCCAACAAGAGCGTACAGGTCACAATGGTGGGTAGTGTATGGGGCTTTGGAGACAAAACGGATGGCACTGTGATAGACTACATCCAATTTGCTGAGTAGAGCATTGGAGGCTATTTTGTAAATGACATCGCCGAAATCAAGGATCGGTAGGATATTCCGTTTTACGAGGGCATGTTTGGCAGCATGAGTGAAGGAGGCTTTGTTGCGAAGTTGGAAGCCGATTCTAGATTTAACTTTGGATTGGAGATGCTTAATGTGAGTCTGGAAGGAGAGTTTACAGTCTAACCAGACACCTAGGTATTTGTAGTTGTCCACATATTCTAAGTCAGACCCGCCGAGAGTAGTGATTCTAGTTGTGCGGGCGTAAGCAGTTTTACTAGCGTTTAAGAGCAGGCTACGGAAGGAGTGTTGTATGGCATTGAAGCTCGTTTGGAGGTTTGTTAACACAGTGTCCAATGAAGGGCCAGATGTATACAAAATGGTGTCGTCTGCGTAGAGGTGGATCTGAAAGTCACCAGCAGCAAGAGCGACATCATTGATATACACAGAGAAAAGTGTCGGCCCAAGAATAGAACCCTGTGGCACCCCCATAGAGACTGCCAGAGGTCCAGACAACAGGCCCTCCGATTTGACACATTGAACTCTATCTGAGAAGTAGTTGGTGAACCAGGCGAGGCAGTCATTTGAGAAACCAAGGCTATTTAGTCTGCCAATAAGAATGCGGTGATTGACAGAGTTGAAAGTCTTGGCCAGGTCGATGAAGACGGCTGCACAGTACTGTCTTTTATCGATCGCGGTTATAATATCTTTTAGGACCTTGAGCGTGGCTGAGGTGCACCCATGACCAGCTCGGAAACCAGATTGCATAGCGGAGAAGGTACGGTGGGATTCGAAATGGTCGGTGATCTGTTTGTTCACTTGGCTTTCAAATACTTTCGAAAGGCAAGGCAGGATGGATATAGGTCTGTAACAGTTTGGATCTAGAGTGTCACCCCCTTTGAAGAGGGGGATTACCGCGGCAGCTTTCCAATCTCTGGGGATCTCAGACGATACGAAAGAGAGGTTGAACAGGCTAGTAATAGAGGTTGCGACAATTTCGGCTGCTAATTTTAGAAAGAAAGGGTCCAGATTGTCTAGTCCAGCTGATATGTAGGGGTCCAGATTTTGCAGCTCTTTCAGAACATCAGCTATCTGAATTTGGGTAAAGGAGAAGTGGGGAGGGGCATTGGCAAGTTGCAGCGGAGGGTGCACAGCTGGTGGCCGGGGTAGGGGTAGCCAGGTGGAAAGCATGGCCAGCCGTAGCAAAATGCTTGTTGAAATTCTCAATTATCATAGATTTATCGGTGGTGACATTGTTTCCTAGCCTCAGTGCAGTGGGCAGCTGGGAAGGAGGTGCTCTTATTCTCCATGGACTTTAGTGTCCCAAAACTTTTTGGAGTTAGTGCTAAAGGATGCACATTTCTGTTTGAATAAGCTAGCCTTTACTTTCCTAACTGATTGTGTATATTGGTTCCTGACTTCCCTGAAAAGTTGCATATCGCGGGTGCTGTTCGATGCTAATGCAGTACGCCACAGGATGTTTTTGTGCTGGTCAAGGGTGAACCAGGGGCTATATCTGTTCTTAGTTCTGAATTTTTTGAATGGGGCATGCTTATTTAAGATGGAGAGGAAAGCACTTTTGAAGAACATCCAGGCATCCTCTACTGACGGAATGAGGTCAATATCCATCCAGGATACCCGGGCCAGGTCAATTAAAAAGGCCTGCTCGCTAAACTGTTTTAGGGAGCGTTTGACAGTGATGAGGGGTGGTCGTTTGACCGCGGACCCATTACGGACGCAAGCAATGAGGCAGTGATCGCTGAGATCCTGGTTGAAGACAGCAGAGGTTTACAGTGAGGGGAAAAGTATTTGATCCCCTGCTGATTTTGTACATTTGCCCACTGACAAAGATATGATCAGTCTATAATTTTAATGGTAGGTTTATTTGAACAGTGAGAGACAGAATAACAACAAACAAATCCAGAAAAACGCATGTCAAAAATGTTATAAATTGATTTGCATTTTAATGAGGGAAATAAGTATTTGACCCCTCTGCAAAACATGACTTAGTACTTGGTGGCAAAACCCTTGTTGGCAATCACAGAGGTCAGACGTTTCTTGTAGTTGCCCACCAGGTTTGCACACATCTCAGGAGGGATTTTGTCCCACTCCTCTTTGCAGATCTTCTCCAAGTCATTAAGGTTTCGAGCCTGACGTTTGGCAACTCGAACCTTCAGCTCCCTCCACAGATTTTCTATGGGATTAAGGTCTGGAGACTGGCTAGGCCACTCCAGGACCTTAATGTGCTTCTTCTTGAGCCTCTCCTTTGTTGCCTTAGCCATGTGTTTTGGGTCATTGTCATGCTGGAATACCCATCCACGACCCATTTTCAATGCCCTGGCTGAGGGAAGGAGGTTCTCACCCAAGATTTTGACGGTACATGGCCCCGTCCATCGTCCCTTTGATGCGGTGAAGTTGTCCTGTCCCCTTAGCAGAAAAACACCCCCAAAGTATAATGTTTCCAACTCCATGTTTGACGGTGGGGGTGGTGTTCTTGGGGTCATAGGCAGCATTCCTCCTCCTCCAAACATGGCGAGTTGAGTTGATGCCAAAGAGCTCGATTTTGGTCTCATCTGACCACAACACTTTCACCCAGTTCTCCTCTGAATCATTCAGATGTTCATTGGCAAACTTCAGACGGGCCTGTATATGTGCTTTCTTGAGCAGGGGGACCTTGCGGGAGCTGCAGGATTTCAGTCCTTCACGGCGTAGTGTGTTACCAATTGTTTTCTTGGTGACTATGGTCCCAGCTGCCTTGAGATCATTGACAAGATCCTCCCGTGTAGTTCTGGGCTGATTTCTCGCCGTTCTCATGATCATTGCAACTCCACGAGGTGAGATCTTGCATGGAGCCCCAGGCAGAGGGAGATTGACAATTTTTTCGAATAATCGCACCAACTGTTGTCACCTTCTCACCAAGCTGCTTGGCGATGGTCTTGTAGCCCATTCCAGCCTTGTGTAGGTCTACGATCTTGTCCCTGACATCCTTGGAGAGCTCTTTGGTCTTGGTCATGGTGGAGAGTTTGGAATCTGATTGATTGATTGCTTCTGTGGACACGTGTCTTTTATACAGGTAACAAGCTGAGATTAGGAGCACTCCCTTTAAGAGTGTGCTCCTAATCTCAGCTCGTTACCTGTATAAAAGACACCTGGGAGCCAGAAATCTTTCTGATTGAGAGGGGGTCAAATACTTATTTCCCTCATTAAAATGCAAACCAATTTATAACATTTTTTTGTTGTTATTCTGTCTCTCACTGTTCAAATAAACCTACCATTAAAATTATAGACTGATAATTTCTTTGGGCAAACGTACAAAATCAGCAGGGGATCAAATACTTTTTTCCCTCACTGTATTTAGAGGGTAAATTAGTCAGGATGATATCTATGAGGGTGCCCATGTTTACAGATTTAGGGTTGTACCTGGTAGGTTCCTTGATAATTTGTGTGAGATTGAGGGCATCTAGTTTAGATTGTAGGATGGCCGGGGTGTTAAGCATATCCCAGTTTAGGTCACCAAGCAGTATGAAACTCTGAGGATAGATGGGGGGCAATCAATTCACATATGGTGTCCAGGGCACAGCTGGGGGCTGAGGGGGGTCTGCACAGACCTGGATAGTATGATAGATTCTGCAGGCTATCTCTACAGTAGATTGCAACTCCGCCCCCTCTGGCAGTTCTATCTAGACGGAAAATGTTGTAGTTGGGGATGGAAACTTTCTGAATTTTTGGTGGCCTTCCCAAGCCAGGATTCAGACACTGCTAAGAACATCAGGGTTGGCAGAGTGTGCTAACGCAGTGAATAACTCAAAATTAGGGAGGAGGCTTCTGATATTAACATGCAAGAAACCAAGGCTTTTGCGGTTACAGAAGTCAACAAATGATAGCGCCTGGGGGGTAGGAGTGATACTAGGGGCTACAGGGCCTGGGTTAACCTCTACATCACCAGAGGAACAGAGGAGGACTAGAATAAGGATACGGCTAAAGGCTTTAAGAACTGGTCTTCTAGTGCGTTGGGTACAGAGAATAAAAGGGGCAGATTTCCGGGCGTTGTAGAATAGATTCAGGGCATTATGTACAGACAAGGATATGGAAGGATATGAGTACAGTGGAGGTAAACCTAAGCGTTGGGTAACGATGAAAGAGAGAGCATCACTGGAGGCACCGATTGAGCCGGTCTCCGCGTGTATGGGGGGGTGGGACAAAGGAGCTCTCTGAGGCTGGTTGAGCGGGACTGGGGGGCTCTACAGTGAAATAGTCCGGTCCCTCTTGGACTAGGTGATGGCTGCTTTGATGCTGACATGAAAAGACAGGTGATCCGGAGGCGGACGCTAATTGGATAGAACCGCTAACACCTGCTGACCTATGACCTACAGTATGACCTTACACCTGCTCTGAATAGACTGGGTTACCACTACAAGCACTCTAAGGAGCCCTGGGGAAAAGTAGTGCACTATATAAGGGATTGGGTGCCGTTTCGGGCACAGACAAAGTTGATCGCTTGTAGAAAATGAGGATCTCACTCAGATTTGAGGTCAAATTAAATTCTTACTTGCTAAACCCAATAGCAGGGTCGCCCCCCCCCCAAGTTTTCTAAGAACAGTGTTTGTTTTTTTAGTGTTTTTTTGGGGGGGACATAAAATACTGTAAAAACACCAGCAAATCAGCTCCAAGTGATTTTAATTTAATGTAATATTCACACGCATAATACAGAGATACTGTATATGTGATCGTATACAAATGTAAGCAAGGTTTCAAAATGGTTCTGTTTTAGTCAAATATAAATATCTGTTTGGGCTTCTTGCGTTCAATTTTCAGTCTACAAATGATTTGTAATTATGTTCCAGGCCCCTGACCATCCGCTGAAGACAAAATCGGCCCGCGGCTGAATCTAGTTGTTGATCCCTGATCTATAGTCTCTGACGGCCTGTGAAGTCCTAGTTACGTCAGCTGAGGTCACAAAATCTAAAATCCTAAATTTATAAACACATTATTTGGATAGTCCAGATGTTCCATCTGTAGATGGCCATACTATCAACAAACTACACTACCTGACCAAAAGTATGTGGACATCTGCTCATCAAACATCTCATTCCAAAATCATGGCCATTAATATGGAGTTGGTCCCCTCCTTTGCTGCTGTAACAGCCTCCACTCTTCTGGGAAGGCTTTCCACTAGATGTTGGAAACATTGCTGCGGGGACTTGCTTCCATTCAGCCACAAGAGCATTAGTGAGGTCGGGCACTGATGTTGGGCGATTAGGCCTGGCTCGCAGTCGGCGTTCCAATTCATCCCAAAGGTGTTCGATGGGGTTGAGGTCAGGGCTCTGTGCAGGCCAGTCAAGTTCTTCCACACCAATCTCGACAAACCATTTCTGTATGGACCTCGCTTTGTTCACAGGGGCATTGTCATGCTGAAACAGGAAAGGGCCTTCCCCAAACTGTTGCCACAAAGTTGGAAGCACAGAATCGTCTAGAATGTCATTGTATGCTGTAGTTTTAAGATTTCCCTTCACTGGAACTAAGGAGCCTGAATCATGAAAAACAGCCCCAGACCATCATTCCTCCTCCACCAAACTTTACAGTTGGCACTATGCATTGGGGAAGGTAGTGTTCTCATGACATCCGCCAAACCCAGATTCGTCCGTCGGACTGCCAGATGGTGAAGCGTGATTCATCACTCCAGAGAACGCGTTTCCACTGTTCCAGAGTCCAATGGCGGCGAGCTTTACACCACTTCAGCCAATGCTTGGCATTGCGCATGGTGGTCTTAGGCTTGTGTGCGGCTGTTCAGCCATGGAAACCCATTTCATGAAGCTCCCGACGAACAGTTATTGTGCTGACGTTGCTTCCAGAGGCGGTTTGGAACTCGATAGTGAGTGTTGCAACCGATGACAGGTGATATTTACGCGCTACGCGCTTCAGCACTCGGCGGTCCCGTTCTGTGAGCTTCTGTGGCCTACCACTTCCCGGCTGAGCCCGTTGCTCCTAGACGTTTCCACTTCACAATAACAGGACTTACAGATGACCGGGGCAGCTCTAGCAGGGCAGAAATTTTACGAACTGACTTGTTGGAAAGGTGGCATCCTATGACGGTGCCACTTTGAAAGTCACTGAGCTCTTCAGTAAGGCCATTCTACTGCCAATGTTTGTCTGTGGAGATTGCATGGCTGTGTGCTCGATTTTATGCACCTGTCAGCAACGGGTGTGGCTGAAATAGCCGAATCCACTCATTTGAATGGGTGTCCACATACTTTTATATATATATATATATATAGCGTATGTGCCAAACACTTCACTGGGGTTTTTATTCCTCAATAGAAACAACAAGCAGACAGACGGCAGCTCCCTAAGTATAACACCGTAAACACAGAACACAGAACACCCCAATAACACACCAAAATAAAACATGACCATGCCTAGCTGCCACGGTAACCAACACCATGGTAACTCCACGGCAACGGACACAATACTTTTGTATATATAGTGTGTGTGTGTCGGTGTCAGGTTAGGGTTACCCAGGGTCATGGTGCAGGTAGCTGGCCTCAATGCTGACCTTTCACCTTTAGGGTGATGTTATTTCTTCAGAGACAGAGTGTCTCTGACTTGCTCTGTCATCTCTGTGGTGTCCGTTTCAGGTTAGGGTTGATGTTACCCAGCGTCATGCTGTCTCGCTGGCTGTCTTTGATGTGATAGATTGATGATGATGCCATCTAAACTGGGCTGACGATGACGATGTTCTATATTCGTAATGGCGGATGCCCTTTGTTGTAAACTATGCTGTATGTTCAGTGAGTTTACTGTTTGATCCAAACTCCTGAATACAGTGATTGATGTTGTGTGATTGCAATCAAGAGATTTTGAACATATTCAATATCTTAATAAGCAACATAGACTGGCTTCACTTTTACCCCGATTACAGTTAGCTTTACTAATTGCATTTATGTATACATTCAGCTTCTCTGTTGCAGACATGAGTGGTTGAATTCTTACAGGTTCAACTTTAACCTAATACCTTGGGCAACAATGGAGTAATCTTTTCCTGGATTGTGAGATCCCCGTATAATCCTGTTTCACCAGACCCAGGGGGAGCGGAGTGACTGTAGATGTATCCCAAATTACACCCTATTCCCTTTATAGTGCACTACTTTAGACCAGAGACCTATGGACTTTGACATGAGAGTGGCGCATAGTGAAGACTGAGCTCCATCCGTCTGAAACTCAGATCATTCGGGCACTGAATTATATCATCTCTCCATCTGTCGGTAATGCATGAGGCACACATTGAAATGATTGATGGTCCCTAAAGGCAGGAAATGTTCATGGAAGAATGGGCTGCTGTGGTTCTCTGTGGGTCCGTATGATTGATTGCTTGATAGACTTTAAAACATCTATGTGTGTCAGTTAAGAAAAAATACATATACAGTGCATTCAGAAAGTATTCAGACCCCTTGACCTTTTCCACATTTTGTTACGATACAGCCTTATTCTAAAATTGATTAAATTGTTTTTTTTCCCTCTCATCAATCTACACACAATAGCCCATAATGACGAAGCAAAAAAAGGTTTTTAGATATTTTAGCAAATGTATTAAAAATAAAAAACAGTAATATCACATTTACATAAGTTTTCAGACCCTTTAGTCAATATGTTATTGAAGCACCTTTGGCAGCGATTACAGCCTCGAGCCTTCTTGGGTATGACGCTACAAGCTTGGCACACCTGACGTGACACTTGGCATTCAGGCCAAAGAGTTCAATCTTGGTTTCATCAGACCAGATAATCTTGTTTCTCATGGTCTGAGTCCTTTAGGTGCCTTTTGGCAAACTCCAAGTGGGAAGTCATGTGCCTTTTACTGAGGAGTGGCTTCCATCTGGCCACTCTACCATAAAGGCCTGATTGGTGGAGTGCTGCAGAAATGGTTGTCCTTCTGGAAGGTTCTCCCATCTCCACAGAGGAACTCTAGAGCTCTGTAAGAGTGACCATCGGGTTCTTGGTCACCTCCCTTCACAATGCCTTCAACCTCATGGCTTGGTTTTTGCTCTGACATGCACTGTCAACTGTGGGACCTTATATAGACAGGTGTGTGCCTTTCCAAATCATGTCCAATCAATTGAATGTACCACAGGTGGACTCCAATCAAGTTGTAGAAACATCTCAAGGATGATCAATGGAAACAGGATGCACCTGAGCTCAATTTCGAGTCTCATAGGAAAGGGTCTGAATACTTATGTAAATAAGGTATTTCAGTTTTTATTTTTAATACATTTGCAAAAAATTCTAACAACCTGTTTTCGCTTTGTCATTGTGGGGTATTGTGTGTAGATTGATGAGGATTTTTTTAGTTATTTAATCGATTTTAGAATAAGGCTGTAATGTAACAAAATGCGGAAAAAGGGAAGGGGTCTGAATACTTTCCAAATGCACTGTATATAAGAGGCCTACAAACCTGACTCAGTTACACCAGCTCTGTCAGGAGGAATGGGCCAAAGTTCACCCAATTTATTGTGGGAAGCTTGTGGAAGGCTACCTGAAACATTTGACCCAAGTTAAACAATTTAAAGGCAATGCTACCAAATACTAATTGAGTGTATGTAAACTTCTGACCCACTGGGAATGTGATGAAAGAAATAAAAGCTGAAATAAATCATTTTCTCTACTATTATTCTGACATTTCACATTCTTAAAATAAAGTTGTGATCCTAACTGACCTAAGACAGGGAATTTTTACTAGGATTAAATGTCAGAAATTGTGAAAACTGAGTTTAAATGTATTTGGCTAAGGTGTATGTAAACTTCCGACTTCAACTGTATGATGTATGAATCAGAAGTGTCCTCAATTTTTTAAAACTTTTTAATGTGTACTGATCCCTTTTATCAGGAAGGTCTGCAAATAGATACCCTTGTTTAATCTGTCTTTAATAAAGTGGGATCTGGTCAGGAGTTTCTAATCTGGCCAATGTTGACTCTAGTGTCAACCAGATGAACCCTGTGACCATGGAGTGGGGGGAGGGTCTGGTGTGACTGACAACCCAGAGAGTAGAGGTGACCATGTTTGTCCTGTGTGGCTCAGTTGGTAGAGCTTGCAATACCAGGGTTGTGGGATTGATTCCGGCTGGGGTCACTCAGGCAGGACTGGCAGTCACTTAGGATAAGTGTCTGCTACACTACATATATTACATGATTTGTTCTGTAACCTTTCTCTCCCCTCTCTCTCGCTCTCCCTCTCCCTCTCCCTCCCCCTCCCTTCCTCTCTCCCGCTCCCTCTCTCCCTCTCCCTCTCCCTCTCCCTCTCCCCCTCTCCCTCCCCTCCCTCTCCCCTCCCTCCTCTCTCTCTCTCTCTCTCTCTCTCTCTCCCTCTCCTTCGCTCTCAGGATCTCTCTCCTCCTCTCTCTCCTCTCTCTCTCCCTCCTTCCCTCTCTCCCTCTCAATTGCTCCCTCTCCCTCTTCCCTCTCTCCCTCCCTTCCCTCCTCCCTCCCTTCGCTCTCTCCCCCCTCTCCCTCTCCTCCTCCCTCCCTCTCGTCCCTTCCCTCCCTTCCTCCCTCCCTTTCCCATTTCCATCTTCCCCGCTCTCCCCCTCTCCCTCCTCCTCCCTCCCTCCGCCCCTCCCTCGTCTCCCTCCCTTCCTCTCCCTCTCTCCCTCTCCCTCCCTCCCTCCCTCTCAGCCCCTCTCTCTCCCTCCCTCCCACTCCCTCCCTCTCTTCTCACAGGTATCCCCTTCCCCAAGAACTTCATCCAGATCTGTAAGAAGATCATCTGCCGTCTGTTCCGGGTGTTTGTCCACGTCTACATCCACCATTTTGACCGTATGATGCTGATGGGAGCTGAGGCCCACGTTAACACCTGCTACAAGCACTTCTACTGCTTCAGCACAGAACTCAACCTCATAGACCGCAAGGAGCTGGAGCCACTGGTGAGTATGAGAGAGATCAAGATTGAGTCAAGACAGAAGGTGCGTCCCAAATGGCTCCCCGTTCCCTATATAGTGTACTACTTTTGACCAGGGCTGGTGAGTAATAGGGGGCTAGGGGCTAGGGGTTAGGGGTTTATTAAAAGTCTCTGGTCACTCTGGGAGTCCTCTATTATAGAGGCTGACTGGACTGGTGTCACCTACGGGTTATTATAGAGGCTGACTGGACTGGTGTCACCTACGGGTTATTATAGAGGCTGACTGGACTGGTGTCACCTACGGGTTATTATAGAGGCTGACTGGACTGGTGTCACCTACGGGTTATTATAGAGGCTGACTGGACTGGTGTCACCTACGGGTTATTATAGAGGCTGACTGGACTGGTGTCACCTATGGGTTATTATAGAGGCTGACTGGACTGGTGTCACCTACGGGTTATTATAGAGGCTGACTGGACTGGTGTCACCTACGGGTTATTATAGAGGCTGACTGGACTGGTGTCACCTACAGGTTATTATAGAGGCTGACTGGACTGGTGTCACCTATGGGTTATTATATAGGCTGACTGGACTGGTGTCACCTATGGGTTATTATAGAGGCTGACTGGACTGGTGTCACCTACGGGTTATTATAGAGGCTGACTGGACTGGTGTCACCTATGGGTTATTATATAGGCTGACTGGACTGGTGTCACCTATGGGTTATTATAGAGGCTGACTGGACTGGTGTCACCTATGGGTTATTATAGAGGCTGACTGGGCTGGTGTCACCTACGGGTTATTATAGAAGCTGACTGGACTGGTGTCACCTATGGGTTATTATAGAGGCTGACTGGACTGGTGTCACCTACGGGTTATTATAGAGGCTGACTGGACTGGTGTCACCTATGGGTTATTATAGAGGCTGACTGGACTGGTGTCACCTACGGGTTATTATAGAGGCTGACTGGACTGGTGTCACCTATGGGTTATTATAGAGGCTGACTGGACTGGTGTCACCTATGGGTTATTATAGATGCTGACTGGACTGGTGTCACCTACGGGTTATTATAGAGGCTGACTGGACTGGTGTCACCTACGGGTTATTATAGAGGCTGACTGGACTGGTGTCACCTACGGGTTATTATAGAGGCTGACTGGACTGGTGTCACCTACGGGTTATTATAGAGGCTGACTGGACTGGTGTCACCTATGGGTTATTATAGAGGCTGACTGGACTGGTGTCACCTAGGGGTTAGAAGGAAATTAAGTATCAAAGAAGATTGAGATCAGAGGTCAACACATCCGCCTCCAGGCCACATAATAATAATTTGGGGGGTGCTTATATTTGTCCTGTTACACACTTGTACAAAGATGTAATGGAAATGTGTTTTTGCATATCCCAACTCCCCCTGAGACACCTGCAGGGAGTGGTGTCACGGCAAGGTTTGCCATTTTACAGCGCCCCTGGAGTTCCATTCCCCTTTTAAAATGTCTAATAACCCCACTCTCCTCATCTAATGGCAAATCCCTTCCATTCATAGATAACCTCTCATCTGACCCTACTCTCCTCATCCATTCATAGATAACCTCTCATCTGACCCCACTCTCCTCATCCATTCATAGATAACCTCTCATCTGACCCCACTCTCCTCATCCATTCATAGATAACCTCTCATCTGACCCCACTCTCCTCATCCATTCATAGATAACCTCTCATCTGACCCCACTCTCCTCATCCACTCATAGATAACCTCTCATCTGACCCCACTCTCCTCATCCACTCATAGATAACCTCTCATCTGACCCCACTCTCCTCATCCACTCATAGATAACCTCTCATCTGACCCCACTCTCCTCATCCACTCATAGATAACCTCTCATCTGACCCCACTCTCCTCATCCATTCATAGATAACCTCTCATCTGACCCCACTCTCCTCATCCAGAGAGAGAGAGAGAGAGAACACAGACCCACAAAGAATTCAAAAACAAACCCAATTTTGATAAACTCCCATATCTACTGGGTGAAAAACCACAGTGTGCCATCACAGCAGCAAGATTTGTGACCTGTTGCCACAAGAAAAGGGCAACCAGTGAAGAACAAACACCATTGTAAATACAACCCATATTTATGTTGATTTATTTTCCCTTTTGTACTTTAACTATTTGCACATTGTTACAACACTGTATATAGACATAATATGACATTTGAAATGTCTTTATTCTTTGGGAACTTCTGAGTGTAATGTTTACTGTTAATATTTATTGTTTATTTCACTTTTGTTTACTATCTACTTCACTTGCTTTGGCAATGTTAACACACGTTTCCCATGCCAATAAAGCCCTTAAATTGAATTGAATCGAGAGAGAGAGCGCTACTGTGAAATTATGGCAGCATCAGAGGCTGACGGGATGGATCAGGCCTATTGTTTGTTTAAACCTTGATTAAGTAAAGCAACATTATAATAGATTTAAAGCAGTTCTACGTTTTTAAAAATCTTTAAAAAACATTCTAGTTTAGTTGTAGGTTTTCATTTATTTCCATCTACCTGTTTTCCCCTCTTGTCTATTTCCTCTATCAGCCTCCATACAATGGAGCAGGGAGATTTAATCAGTCCTCTATCAGCCTCCATACAATGGAGCAGGGAGATTTAATCAGTCCCCTAGCAGCACCATACAGTGGAGCTGGGAGATTTAATCAGTCCCCTAGCAGCACCATACAATGGAGCAGGGAGATTTAATCAGTCCTCTATCAGCCTCCATCCAATGGAGCAGGGAGATTTAATCAGTCCTCTATCAGCCTCCATACAATGGAGCAGGGAGATTTAATCAGTCCCCTAGCAGCACCATACAGTGGAGCTGGGAGATTTAATCAGTCCCCTAGCAGCATCCATACAATGGAGCAGGGAGATTTAATCAGTCCTCTATCAGCCTACATACATGGCGAAGGGAGATTGAATCAGTCCCCTAGCAGCACCAACAATGGAGCAGGGAGGATTTATCAGTCCCCTATCAGCCTCCATACAATGAGCAGGGGCTTTAATAGTCCTCTATCAGCCTCCATACAATGAGCACGGGAGATTTAATCAGTCCCTAGCCGCACCATACAATGGAGACAGGAGATTGAATCAGTCCTCTATCAGCCTCCATCCAAATTGGAGCAGGGAGATTTATCAGTCCTCTATCAGCCTCCATACACTGGAGCAGGGAGATTAATCAGCCCATAGCAGCACCATACAATGGAGCAGGGAGATTTAATCAGTTCCTCTATAAGCCCCATCAATGGAGCAGGGAGATTTAATCAGTCCTCTATCAGCCTCCATACAAGGGAAGCAGGGAGATTTAATAAGTCCCTCTTATCAGCCCTCCATACATGGAGCAGGGAGATTTAATCAGTCCTCTATCAGCCCCATACAATGGAGCAGGGAGATTAATCAGTCCTCTATCGCCTCCATACAATGGAGCAGGGAGATTTAATCAGTCCTCTATCAGCCTCCATACAATGGAGCAGGGAGATTTAATCAGTCCTCTATCAGCCTCCATACAATGGAGCAGGGAGATTTAATCAGTCCTCTATCAGCCTCCATACAATGGAGCAGGGAGATTTAATCAGTCCTCTATCAGCCTCCATACAATGGAGCAGGGAGATTTAATCAGTCCTCTATCAGCCTCCATACAATGGAGCAGGGAGATTTAATCAGTCCCTCTATCAGCCTCCATACAATGGAGCAGGGAGATTTCAATCAGTCCTCTATCAGCCTCCATACAATGGAGCAGGGAGATTTAATCAGTCCTCTATCAGCCTCCATACAATGGAGCAGGGAGATTTAATCAGTCCTCTATCAGCCTCCATACAATGGAGCAGGGAGATTTAATCAGTCCTCTATCAGCCTCCATACAATGGAGCAGGGAGATTTAATCAGTCCTCTATCAGCCTCCATACAATGGAGCAGGGAGATTTAATCAGTCCTCTATCCGCCGCCCTACAATAGAGCAGGGAGATTTAATCAGTACTCTATCAGCCTTTCCCATTACAAGGAGGCAGGGAGATTTAATTCAGTCCTCTATCAGCCTCCATACATGGAGCAGGAGATTTAATCCGTCCTCTAGCAGCCTCCATAACAGTGGCGCAGGGAGATTAAGAGTCCTCATAAGCAGCTACAGCGGAGCAGGGAGATTTAATCAGTCCTCTATCAGCACCATACAGCGGAGCAGGGAGATTTAATCAGTCCTCTATCAGCACCATACAGCAGAGCAGGGAGACGGAATCAGTCTGGTTCTGGTCAGCAGTACACACCAGGGAGATGGGATCAGTCTGGTTCTGGTCAGCAGTACACACCAGGGACAGACAGTTGTCTTCGGCCAGCTCCTGGTAGTCATTACTGTGGATAACGGAGAGAGAGAAGGCGAAGGGAGAGAGGGGGGGGAGACCGGTGGGGGAGATGGGGGAGGATACTCTAGACGGGGGGGAGGAGAGGTGGGGGAGAGGTGAGGAGAGGGGGGGAGGAAAAGGGGAGAGTGGAGGACGAGGGGGGGGGGGATGACGGGTGGGGGCGAGAGGTGGAGGAGAGGTGGGGGAGAGGGGGAGGAGAGGTGGGGAGAGGTGGAGGAGAGGTAGGGGAGCAGGTGGTGGAGGTGTGGAGGAGAGGTGGAGGAGAGGTGGGGGAGAGGTTGGGGAGAGGTGGAGGAGAGGTGGGGGAGAGTGGGGGAGAGTGGAGGAGAGGTGGGGGAGAGGTTGGGGGCAGGGAGAGGTGGAGGAGAGGGGGGGGAGAGGTAGAGGAAGGGTGGCAGGAGAGGTGGAGGGAGTTTGGGGGAGAGGTGGAGGGGGGCGAGGTGAGGGGAGAGGTGGAGGAGAGGTGGAGGAGAGGTGGGGGAGAGGTGGAGGAGGAGGTGGGGGAGAGGTGGGGGAGAGAGGGGGAGAGAGGGGGGGGAGAGGGGGGGAGAGGTGGAGGATGGGGGAGAGGTGGAGGAGAGGTGGGGGGGGGGAGGTGAGAGGGGGAGGGTTGGGGGGGGAGGGGGGGGGAAGAGGGGGGGGGAGGGGGAGGAGATGGAGGAAAGGGGGGGGGGAGAGGTGGGGGAGAGGGGAGGAGCAGGGGGGGAGATGGAGGGGGAGGGTGGATAGCGGGGAGAGGTGGAGGAGAGGTGGGGGGAGGTGGAGGTGAGGATGGGGGGAGAGGTGGGGAGAGGTGCGGGGAGGGGTGGAGGAGAGGTGGGAGGATGAGGGGGGGGAGAGGTGGAGGAGAGGTGGGGGAGGGGGGGAAGGGGAGAGGGAGGTGGGGGAGAGGTGGAGGAGAGAGGTGGGGGAGGAGAGGTGGGGGAGGATGGAGGAGAGGTGGGGAGGAGGTGGGGAGAGGTGGGGGAGAGGGTGGAGGAGAGGTGGTGGAGAGGGGGAGGAGGAGAGGTGGGGGAGAGGAGGTGGGGGAGAGGTGGAGGAGAGGTGGGGGAGAGAGTGGAGGGAGGTGGGGGAGAGGGTGGGGAGAGGTGGGGGAGAGGTGGAGGAGAGGTGGGGGAGAGAGGAGGGGTGGGGGAGAGGTGGAGGAGAGGAGGAGAGGTGGGGGAGAGAGTGGGGAGGAGAGGTGGAGGAGAGGGGGGGGAGAGGGAGAGGGGAGAGGTGGGGAGGAGGTGGGGGAGAGGTGGGGAGATGGGGAGGGGGGAGAGGGGGGGAGAGGGAGGAGGGGGGAGGAGAGGGGGGGGGGGGAGGGGAGGAGAGGGGTGGAGAGAGGGGGAGAGGGGGGGGAGAGGTGGGGGAGAGGGGGGGGAGAGAGGGAGGAGGGGGGGGGAGAGGTGGGGAGAGGGGAGGAGAGGGGGGGGAGAGGGGAGGGGGGGAGGAGAGGGGGGGAGAGGGGGAGGGAGGGGGGGAAAAGGTGGGGGAGAGGTAGAGGAGAGGTGGAGGAGAGGTGGGGGAGAGGTGGAGGAGAGGGGGTGGAGAGGAGGAGGAGATGGGTGGGGGAGAGGTGGGGGAGAGGGGGGAGAGGTGGGGAGAGGGGGGGGGAGAGGGGGGAGAGGGGGGGAGAGGGGGGGAGAGGGAGGGGGGGGGGGAAGAGGAGGAGGGGTGGGGGAGAGGTGGAGGAGAGGAGGAGGTGGGGGAGAGATGGGGGAGAGGTGGAGGGAGAGGTGGAGGAGAGGTGGGGGAGAGGGGGAGGGAGGTGGGGAGAGGTGGGGGAGAGGTGGGGGGAGAGGAGGAGAGGGGGGAGAGGTGGAGGAGAGGAGGAGGTGGGGGAGAGATGGGGGAGAGGGGAGGTGGGGGGGGGGGGTGGAGGAGAGGGGGGAGGAGAGGTGGGAGAGGAGGGAGGTGGGGGAGAGGTGGGGAGAGGGGGGGGAGGAGGGGGGGTGGGGGAGAGGGGGGAGGAGAGGATGGAGGAGAGGTGGGGGAGAGGTGGAGGAGAGGTGGGGGAGAGGTGGTGGAGAGAGGAGGGGGGGGAGAGGTGGAGGAGAGGAGGAGGTGGGGGAGAGATGGGGGAGAGGTGGGGGTGGGGGGAAGAGGTGGCGGAGAGGGGGATGAGAGGGTTGGTGGAGCGGAGGGAGGTGGGGGGAGGCGAGGTGGGGCGAGAGGTGGGAGGACGAGGTGGGGGAGAGGTGGAGGTAAGAGATGGAGGAGAGGGGGGGGAGGGAGGGGGAGGGAGGAGAGGTTGGAGGATAAGAGGTGGAGGAGAGCTGGGGGAGCGGAGGAGGAGGGGGAAGAGGTGGGGAGAGGAGGAGGTGGGGGAGAGGAGGTAGGAGGAGTGGGGAGCGGTGGGGGGGAGAGGTGGGGGAGAGGTGGAGAGGGAGGAGAGGTGGGGGAGATCGAGGAGGTGGGGGAGAAGAGTGGGAGGAGAGGAGGAGGTGGGGGAGAGGTGGAGGGGAGGAGGAGGTGGGGGAGAGGTGGGGGAGAGGTGGGGGAGCGTATTTGTTCCTGCAGGCCCAGCTCTTGTCTAGTATAGATCTCCTAGGCAACAGAAAAGTAACAAAAACAGTAGCAACAAGGACCAGGACTACTGGGGGTCTTGGTGCTGCCCTGCTACTGGTCGATGGAAGGAAGGCTGGTGCCTAGCAACCTGGCTGTGTGTTCTCTGGGTGTGTTTAGCAGGTTGACCTTGTCCTAATAGACTGACAGCCGGTGTGAATTATCAGACCATCAGCCTGGGTGTGTTTAGCAGGTTGACCTTGTCCTAATAGACTGACAGCCAGTGTGTATTATCAGACCATCAGCCTGGGTGTGTTTAGCAGGTTGACCTTGAGAGTAGTGATGGTCCTCTCACCAAGGTGAAGCTCAGCTCAGTTTGCCAGCCTGTCACTGTGCCAAACTCCTTCTCCGCTGACACAGGAGTTCACACCTGGCTTGACCAAACAGTTGTCATGAAATACTACCTAATGGAGCATAGTTGCAAGTTTTGCTGGAAACAAATGAAGTGAATGTTGAATCCGTTTCATCCTCGCACTCTCTTGTAACTTATTTCTCTCTTCCAGAAAGATATGACGTCTGGGATGTGTCAGTGAGGTGTTGTAGCAGAACCACTGGGGCTGCCGATGAACTCCGAACTCCGAACCCTGCTCTGTTCCGTTGGCATGGCAGGAGGTTACCATGGATATGCTGTGGGAGGGTCCAATGAGCATGCCTCTGAAGCTTGATGACATCATCGCTGTGCGTCTGGTAGCCGGAGAAGAACCTGTTACTTGCAGATACGCCTGCCTGGCTTGATGCACACTGTAGCAGAGACAGGCTCTACTGTAGTTTGTCATGTTAAGGAACTCTCTCTATAACACCACATCACTGAGGAGGAGCTGATTAACTAATGTTTGCATGAGTTGATTATGTTCTATATGAGAGTAGGACTACTAGGACCACTTACTGGCTGATTGACTGGCTGGCTGGCTGACTGGCTGATTGACTGGCTGGCTGGCTGATTGACTGGCTGGCTGGCTGGCTGGCTGGCTGACTGGCTGATTGACTGGCTGGCTGGCTGGCTGGCTGGCTGGCTGGCTGGCTGGCTGACTGACTGGCTGGCTGGCTGGCTGACTGACTGGCTGGCTGGCTGATTGACTGGCTGGCTGGCTGGCTGGCTGACTGGCTGATTGACTGGCTGGCTGGCTGACTGGCTGATTGACTGGCTGGCTGTCAAATCAAAAAGTGTCTGAAATGGCATCCTATTCCTTATGTAGTGCACTACTTTTGACCTGGACTCTGGTCAAAGGCAGTGTACTATACAGTCCATTCGGAAAGTATTCAGACCCCTTGACTTTTTCCACATTTTGTTACGTTACAGCCTTATTCTAAAATGGATTAAATCAATAAAAATCCTCATCAATCTAGACACAATACCCCATAATGACAAAGTGAAAAACAGAAATACCTTATTTACATATGTATTCAGACCCTTTGCTATGAGACTCGAAATTGTCAGAGCAAAACCAAGCCATGAGGTCGAAGGCATTGTCTGTAGAGCTCCGAGACAGGATTGTGTCGAGGCACAGATCTGGGGAAGGGTACCGAAAAATTTCTGCAGCATTGAAGGTCCCCAAGAACACTGTGGCCACCATCATTCTTAAATGGAAGAAGTTTGGAACCACCAAGACTCTTCCTAGAGCTGGCCTCCCGGCCAAACTGAGCAATTGGGGGAGAAGGGCCTTGGTCAGGGAGGTGACCAAGAACCCGATGGTCACGCTGACAGAGCTCCAGAGTTCCTCTGTGGAGATGGGAGAACCTTCCAGAAGGACAACCATCTCTGCAGCACTCCACCAATCAGGCCTTTATGGTAGAGTGGCCAGATGGAAGCCACTCCTCAGCAAAAGGCACATGACAGCCCACAGTTTGCCAAAAGGCACCTAAAGATTCTCAGACCATGAAAAACAAGATTTTCTGGACTGATGAAACCAAGATTGAACTCTTTGGCCTGAATGCCAAGCGTCACGTCTGGAAGAAAAACCTTGCACTGAATAGACTGGGAGACTAGTCAGGATCGAGGGAAAGATGAACGGAGCAAAGTACAGAGAGATCCTTGATGAAAATCTGCTCCAGAGCGCTCAGGACCTCAGACTGGGCCAAAGGTTCACCTTCCAACAGGACAACGACCCTAAGCACACAGCCAAGACAACGCAGGAGTGGCTTCGGGACAAGTCTCTGAATGTCCTTGAGTGGCCCAGCCAGAGCTCTGACTTGAACCCGATCGAACATCTCTGGAGGGACCTGAAAATAGCTGTGCAGCAACACTCCCCATCCAACCTGACAGAGCTTGAGAGGATCTGCAGAGAGGAATGGGAGAAACTCCCCAAATACAGGTGTGCCAAGCTTGTAGCATCATACCCAAGAAGACTCAAGGCTGTAATCGCTGCCAAAGGTGCTTCAACAAAGTTCTGAGTAAATGGTCTGAATACTTATGATATTTCAGTTTTTTATTTTTTATATATTTTCCAAACATTTCTAAAAACCAGTTTTTGCTTTGTCATTATGGGGTATTGTGTGTAGATTGATGAGGGGGGGAAAAACAATTTAATCTATTTTAGAATAAGGCTGTAACATAACAGAATGTGGAAAAAGTGGAGGGGTCTGAATACTTTCCGAAGGCACCGTATACAGTGAATAGGGTGCTATTTCAGACACAACCATAGGTCTGACCTCTTGTTTCCACTAGGGGGCACTGTACAGCAGGACACTAGGAGTTAAGCTGCGCAGAATGCTGCATGGGAAATACACTGATGTTATTGGACATGATGTGGACAAATACAGACTTTTACCTGGTGTTGGTTCTAGTAAATGGCCTCCTATAATAATAACATATTTAGCTTTTGTCTCTGCTTTTCCTGTCCGCTATGAAATTAACAGCTGATCGAATAATATAATATGCCAATTATCAGACGCTTTTATCCAAAGCGACTTACAGTCATGCGTGCATACATTGTTTTTTTTGTTGTTGTTTTTTTGTCACGGGGATCGAACCCACTACCTTGGCGTTACAAGCGCCGTGCTCTACCAGCTGAGCTACAGAGGACCACGAATCATCACAAGGTGTTATGTATAAATGATCTTTGGTGTGGAGAGACAGACAACTTGTTCAGTCGATTTAATTTATTCCGTCTGTGTTTAGTGAGTTAAACCAAGCGTCATCATGGGTTCAACTAATGACTGTCATGATTTAGCCGCCACATGTGGTTGGATCTGTGTTTGCTTAGTTTATAGGTTAGAACAATTACGTTTTGTTGAATCACTAAGTTTAAATTGATTTCTCATCTGTGTTAATGTCATGATTCAAAAGCAGATGGGCTGAGGTGTTCTATAGAGAGAAGTGAAATACTGTGATTCTACTTCGGGTACTGATTTATCAATGGCAGCACGGATGACCTGACTGGTGTAGTTTCACAGGTCCTTTCAGGTGTTCATCCATCATGATCCCGGTGTTATTACTTCACCATGAGGACTTCTTTCTTCTTTCTGTCTCCCGAGTGGCGCAGTGGTCTAAGGCGCTGCATCGCAGTGCTAGCTGTGCCACTAGAGATCCTGGTTCGAATCCAGGCTCTGTTGCGACCGGGAGACCCATGGGGCGGAGCACAATTGGTCTAGGGTTGTGGGTTCCATTCCCATGGGGTGTATAAAAAAAAGTAATGTATGCAATTGTAAGTCGCTCTGGATAAGAGCGTCTGCTAAATGACTGTAATGTAATGTAAATCAACGTGTTGCGCTGGCATCCTTACCCTAGTGAATATGGTATGCTGTATCATCAGTCTGTAACTGACTGTTCAGTTTACAATAACCAAACACGAAGCGTCTGTCCTACAAAGTGACTGATATTGTTAACTGGACACTGACACTTATTTACAATTTTTTTTTTTACATTTAGTTTGATTGTTCATGATTCTATTTAAATATTACTACGCCGGAAACAATAAAGTGTATTTTGATTCCTTCCAGAAAACGTTCCTATCTTTTCACAAGGGGGATTTTTAGACAGTACATGCCTACTGGTGGTGTTTGCGATACAGAATGGGCTCATCTGTTGTTGAGAGAAACACAGCGATTCAATCTCTTATTCTGAGCTCATTAGCTTAGCTTAGTTTACTTATACACTCACTGTGATTAGATGGGCGATAGATAGCAGAGGCTAACATGCTAACCCTCTCTGTGATTAGGTGGGTGATAGATAGCACAGAGGCTAACATGCTAACCCTCTCTGTGATTAGGTGGGTGATAGATAGCACAGAGGCTAACATGCTAACCCTCTCTGTGATTAGATGGATGATAGATAGCACAGAGGCTAACATGCTAACCCTCTCTGTGATTAGGTGGGTGATAGATAGCACAGAGGCTAACATGCTAACCCTCTCTGTGATTAGATGGATGATAGATAGCACAGAGGCTAACATGCTAACCCTCTCTGTGATTAGATGGGTGATAGATAGCACAGAGGCTAACATGCTAACCCTCTCTGTGATTAGATGGATGATAGATAGCAGAGGCTAACATGCTAACCCTCTCTGTCATTAGGTGGGTGATAGATAGCAGAGGCTAACATGCTAACCCTCTCTGTGATTAGATGGGTGATAGATAGCACAGAGGCTAACATGCTAACCCTCTCTGTGATTAGGTGGGTGATAGATAGCACAGAGGCTAACATGCTAACCCTCTCTGTGATTAGATGTATGATAGATAGCACAGAGGCTAACATGCTAACCCTCTCTGTGATTAGATGGATGATAGATAGCACAGAGGCTAACATGCTAACCCTCTCTGTGATTAGATGGGCGATAGATAGCACAGAGGCTAACATGCTAACCCTCTCTGTGATTAGATGGATGATAGATAGCACAGAGGCTAACATGCTAACCCTCTCTGTGATTAGATGGATGATAGATAGCACAGAGGCTAACATGCTAACCCTCTCTGTGATTAGATGGGCGATAGATAGCACAGAGGCTAACATGCTAACCCTCTCTGTGATTAGATGGATGATAGATAGCACAGAGGCTAACATGCTAACCCTCTCTGTGATTAGATGGATGATAGATAGCACAGAGGCTAACATGCTAACCCTCTCAGGTAATTAGATGGATATAGATAGCAGCAAAGAGGCCTACAATGCTAAACCTCTGTGATTAGGATGATAGATAGCACAGAGGCTAACATGCTAACCCTCTCTGTGATTAGATGGATGATAGATAGCACAGAGGCTAACATGCTAACCCTCTCTGTGATTAGATGGATGATAGATAGCACAGAGGCTAACATGCTAACCCTCTCTGTGATTAGATGGATGATAGATAGCACAGAGGCTAACATGCTAACCCTCTCTGTGATTAGATGGGCGATAGATAGCACAGAGGCTAACATGCTAACCCTCTCTGTGATTAGATGGATGATAGATAGCACAGAGGCTAACATGCTAACCCTCTCTGTGATTAGATGGGCGATAGATAGCACAGAGGCTAACATGCTAACCCTCTCTGTGATTAGATGGACGATAGATAGCACAGAGGCTAACATGCTAACCCTCACTGTAGATGAGTTCTCCATGGATAGCCACTCAGTGCTTTAATCCACCAGTGTTTTTAATTCATCTCAGAGGCTCTCAACGTGGATTAAAGTCAAGGTTGATACTCACTGGAGCTAATAAAGAGAGTTGTTGATCTAATCAATCAAATCGATGTACAACAATAGGCCTATATAAAGCTGGCCAAGCACTCTCACCTTACCTCTACTGTCCCTCTTACCTCGTGGAGCTAAGTGATTGTCTCTCTCTGGCTGAGTCTGTCTAAACGAGGAGGCTGTTTAATGCTGGCAGTCAGTGGTACGTGATTGACTTATTCCTCTTGGTCAGGGCGGGACGTAGCTAACGCTGCAACAATCTTCTGCCACTGGAGTCTGTCTTTGGCCACAGCTTGCACCCTTGTCCCACGAGAGACCCATCTCTCGCAGCTCAGCCTACCAGTCAGTGGTACAGCGAAAAACGTTTCCTCTATGGGTAAGGAGGCAAGCAGCCCGCCGGTGTGTGTTCAGATCATGTCGATGATCTTCCTGGTGTGTTTCGGCCTGTACTGCATCGTGAAGGGCGTGTCCTTCGGCTTCTTCAACTGGTGGTACATCCTGGGAGGATCGTGTATCGTGGCGGCAGCCTTCGCATCATTCAGGGTATATGAGGTGTGTATTATCTCTGCCCAGAGGGAGATCTGCGAGGGACAGCCCTGTGGACCCGGAGAATAGGGACAGCCCTGTAGCAGACAGGAGACCCTGCCAGGAGACCCTGCCAGGAGACAGTGGGGTAACATTGTTGTCTTTGACTGGAGGACAGCCAGAGACAGACGGGACTTCTACTGGACGCTCAACCCAGGAACACTGACCTATTGTGAACTATCTGAATATAGGATTGGATAGAAATAAATGACTCCAATATTACTGACTTGAAATAATCGTCTAATGCTTGATTATTAAACCACCGGGTAGTACGCTTTGCCTTTTTAAAGAAGAAGAAGAAATGTTGCACTCATCTCTTTGTGTCACACAAGTCATACATCACAGATAAGAATTTAACCACAAAACGTTTTTATTAATTTTAAGGATACCGTTTTTTTCTAAGTAATGGTTTCCTAAAGACATTTACATCTGATATTACAGAAGGCTGCCATGTATGTTACACTGTTCAGATGTAGGATCTTCATTTGATCACTCTTGTTGTTGGAAATTTTCCTGCAAAGCTGGAAATGCAAACGTGTAGTGTATTCAAGGTTTAAAAGGCTTCTAAAGTTTGTAATTTCCACTTTAAAAATGTCAGACTTGATTTTCCCTAACGAAAAATGTATCAACCCCTACAATTTTTTTAAATATTAATTATAATCCACATAATAATTCACATTTCCCTGTTGCTGCAGGATAATTTTCCAGCTGTAGCAAACTGGCTCAAATTAATATCCTACATCTGTACGGTCAACATTTACACTGTTGTTATAGGTCAGCCAGTGACTATCACAGACTGCGTCCCAAACGGTACCCTATTCCCTTTATAGTGCACTACTTTAGACCAGGGTCCACAGGTAGTGCACTACACAGTATAGGGAATAGGGTGGACATTCATCAGAACAGAAGAATCAACAACAACAACAACAACACATCTTAACATGACCGTTTTGAAAGTCAGTTTATGATTGTACAAAGTTAGCACATAACTTGGAATACACAATATGCGCAAAATACTAGTCTGTGAATCCCTTGTGGAGGATTTCTTAAACCGTGTAACTTGTATTATTCCTGTATAGTGCAGCGGTAGTGGAATACTTGTACTGTCGTTTTTTCTTGGAAGAGCACAAGGCTATCCAGCTTCTTCTGCGGAGCAGTCGATGCCAGCATAGGTGAACTTCTCATACAGGGTTGTGTTGACATACGTCTGGAAACGACAGGAAGAGAATAAAGTTCTGTGCTTTAATGAACTGTTAGAGAAAGCTTGCAGTGGGCTACTGTTATATACATTTACATTTACGTCATTTAGCAGACGCTCTTATCCAGAGCGACTTACAGGAGCAATTAGGGTTAAGTTCCTTGCTTAAGGGCACATCGACAGATTTTTCACCTAGTCGGCTCGGGGATTAGAACCAGCGACCTTTCGGTTACTGGCACAACGCTCTTACCCACTAAGCTACCTGCCGTCCATATCCCCGTCCCAACGCTGTGGCTGCTACTACCTACTGTAACTTCAAATTCTCTACTGAATGTCCTGTGAGTTGTTGTGTTTTTGTTTTTTTTTACCAATGACTGTGTAAATGAATCAGCAAAAAATAAAGTGTTTTGATTTACCTTCCTCTCCTCCAGCATCCTGTTGAGTGACACCAGTATCTGTTGAAACGAGGGTCTCTCGTAAGGCTTCTCTCTCCAGCACTGCCGCATCAGGTCGTACCTGGACACGACCACACAGGAGAGGGGTGTTATACGTATTTATTACATACGGCAAATAACCTTGTATGCCTCTATATTCTGAACGTCTCTATATTCTGTATGTCTCTATATTCTGTATGTCTCTATATTCTGTACGTCTCTATATTCTGTACGTCTCTATATTCTGTATGTCTCTATATTCTGTACGTCTCTATATTCTGTACGTCTCTATATTCTGTATGTCTCTATATTCTGTACGTCTCTATATTCTGTATGTCTCTATATTCTGTACGTCTCTATATTCTGTATGTCTCTATATTCTGTATGTCTCTATATTCTGTACGTCTCTATATTCTGTATGTCTCTATATTCTGTACGTCTCTATATTCTGTACGTCTCTATATTCTGTATGTCTCTATATTCTGTACGTCTCTATATTCTGTATGTCTCTATATTCTGTACGTCTCTATATTCTGTATGTCTCTATATTCTGTATGTCTCTATATTCTGTATGTCTCTATATTCTGTATGTCTCTATATTCTGAACGCCTCTATATTCTGTATGTCTCTATATTCTGTATGTCTCTATATTCTGTATGTCTCTATATTCTGTATGTCTCTATATTCTGAACGCCTCTATATTCTGTATGTCTCTATATTCTGTATGTCTCTATATTCTGTATGTCTCTATATTCTGTATGTCTCTTTATCTCTATATTCTGAACGCCTCTATATTCTGTATGTCTCTATATTCTGTATGTCTCTATATTCTGTATGTCTCTATATTCTGTATGTCTCTATATTCTGAACGCCTCTATATTCTGTATGTCTCTATATTCTGTATGTCTCTATATTCTGTATGTCTCTATATTCTGTATGTCTCTATATTCTGAACGCCTCTATATTCTCTGATCTCTACCGTCGGTCTTCAGCAGAGCCCTGTCTGCAGTACTGACACCCTATAGCCCAGCCCCCAGCTGTTTCAGGGTTAGGGTCTTCAGAGCCCTGTCTGTCTGCAGTACTGACACCCTATAGCCCAGCCCCCAGCTGTTTCAGGGTTAGGATCTTCAGCAGAGCCCTGTCTGTCTGCAGTACTGACACCCTATAGCCCAGCCCCCAGCTGTTTCAGGGTTAGGGTCTTCAGAGCCCTGTCTGTCTGTAGTACTGACACCCTATAGCCCAGCCCCCAGCTGTTTCAGGGTTAGGGTCTTCAGAGCCCTGTCTGTCTGCAGTACTGACACCCTATAGCCCAGCCCCCAGCTGTTTCAGGGTTAGGGTCTTCAGAGCCCTGTCTGTCTGCAGTACTGACACCCTATAGCCCAGCCCCCAGCTGTTTCAGGGTTAGGGTCTTCAGAGCCCTGTCTGTCTGCAGTACTGACACCCTATAGCCCAGCCCCCAGCTGTTTCAGGGTTAGGATCTTCAGAGCCCTGTCTGTCTGTAGTACTGACACCCTATAGCCCAGCCCCCAGCTGTTTCAGGGTTAGGGTCTTCAGAGCCCTGTCTGTCTGTAGTACTGACACCCTATAGCCCAGCCCCCAGCTGTTTCAGGGTTAGGATCAGACTACCATCTCCAGACTACTTACACCTCATCGTCACAGTTGAGTGGTTTCTCCAGCCGGTAGCTCTGAGGGAGTTTCTCATACAGCGCTGCACAGGTCATCCCACAGTACGGAGTACCTCCTGATACACAGGTCAACACAAAATACACTGTACATGACAAGACGCACGCACAGTAATGTACACACACTGGACTTATCAGGCTGCACTTCAAATGCAGATTATTTCATTATCCTGGATGCAAACCTAATTATCCTGGATGCAAACCTAATTATCCTGGATACAAACCTAATTATCCTGGATACAAACCTAATTATCCTGGATACAAACTTAATTATCCTGGATACAAACTTAATTATCCTGGATACAAACCTAATTATCCTGGATGCAAACTTAATTATCCTGGATACAAACTTAATTATCCTGGATACAAACCTAATTATCCTGGATGCAAACCTAATTATCCTGGATGCAAACTTAATTATCCTGGATACAAACTTAATTATCCTGGATACAAACTTAATTATCCTGGATACAAACCTAATTATCCTGGATGCAAACATAATTATCCTGGATACAAACCTAAACTGACGATCTCCCAGAGAAGTACACCATAAGACCATCTAGATAGAGAAGAGAGAGAGAGAGAGAGAGAGATAGAGAAGAGAGAGAGAGAGAGAGAGAGAGAGAGAGAGAGAGAGAGAGAATGCGAGAGGGAGGGAGAGAGAGAGAGAGAGAGAGAGAATCAGTGTACACAGTCAGTTTATATACTGTAAATGTATTTGAAAGTTCATTCTGCAGCTGTCACTATCAGTGTTTAGATGACAGTTTAGGTACTTTGGAAACGGAATAAAACGTTGAGAATCCAAGTTCGGTATGACACAGACCTGCATCACTATACTGAGAGTGTTGTCGTTTCTAAAAGGACGTATTTGGGTGTTTTTGGAGCCTTTGTTCATGATTTTTCAACACAATAAGGATGAGGAAGTGATTTACTGTTTGGGGTAAGTTTCACAAAAACAAGTGAAATCACAAAAAAAGGTGTCTGGACCCTTCTATATACATTTACATTTTAGTCATTTAGCAGATGCTCTTATCCAGAGCGACTTACAGTTAGTGAGTGCATACATTATTTTATTTTACATACTGGCCCCCCGTGGGAATTGAACCCACAACCCTGGCGTTGCAAACACCATGCTCTACCAACTGAGCTACATCCCCCTATAACATGCCATTTCCATCAAAAATAGAGATTTGGTTGTAATTTTTTTTTTTTTTTAAACGTCTCGTTTAAAAGATGCAGTACTCACACATCACTGTTTGTGGTGTAGACGCTGTAGTTGAGTGATTCTATGGCCATCCACCTGACAGGTAACCGGCCCTGTGAGTCACACACAGTAAAGATGTCTTTGTCAACAAAGTTTCAGCACCAGGGCTGCAAATAAGAGTGGTGCTAGTGGGCAGCCCTGGTGTGTCCCTCCGTCCAACTGGAAAGGCAGGCTAGGTGACTGCCTTCTGTTTGTGACCACAGCGGCCTGAGAGGATCATACAGTTTCATAGTATAAACGCCCTTGTGATTTTTATGTTGACGTTGAAGTTTGTCAGCTTCGGAGACTCTTACCATGGTCTTCTTCACATAGACCTCCTGCCCTCTGGAGAGACCGAAGTCCGCTATCTTGGCCACTAAGTTCTCTCCCACCAGGATGTTTCTGGCTGCCAGGTCTCTGTGGATGAACTAGAAATCACAAGAGATCTGGTCAGATTATACAACTCACAAGAATAAATCCACTGTGAAGCGTTTATGGGATGTTATGACTAAAAGCACACTCTCTTGTCTCTGGGGTCTGAAACATAAAAAGGCACGGACCAAGCCTGGTCCCAGACCAGTTTGGGCTGTACCAAGCCTGGTGCCAGACCAGTTTGGGCTGTACCTAGCCTGGTGCCAGACCAGTTTGGGCTGTACCTGGTCCCAGACCAGTTTGGGCTGTACCTAGCCTGGTCCCAGACCAGTTTGGGCTGTACCTAGCCTGGTCCCAGACCAGTTTGGGCTGTACCTAGCCTGGTCCCAGACCAGTTTGGGCTGTACCTAGCCTGGTCCCAGATCAGTTTGGGCTGTACCTAGCCTGGTCCCAGACCAGTTTGGGCTGTACCTAGCCTGGTCCCAGACCAGTTTGGGCTGTACCTAGCCTGGTCCCAGACCAGTTTGGGCTGTACCTAGCCTGGACCCAGACCAGTTTGGGCTGTACCTGGTCCCAGATCAGTTTGGGCTGTACCTAGCCTGGTCCCAGACCAGTTTGGGCTGTACCTAGCCTGGTCCCAGATCAGTTTGGGCTGTACCTAGCCTGGTCCCAGACCAGTTTGGGCTGTAACTAGCCTGGTCCCAGACCAGTTTGGGCTGTACCTAGCCTGGTCCCAGATCAGCTGTCTTGCCGCGTCAAGGCCAATGCCAACCTGTTTCTGAGCCAGGTAGTCCATGCCGCGGGCCAGGTCTGCAGTACTAACCTGTTTCTGAGCCAGGTAGTCCATGCCGCGGGCCAGGTCTGCAGTACTAACCTGTTTCTGAGCCAGGTAGTCCATGCCGCGGGCCAGGTCTGCAGTACTAACCTGTTTCTGAGCCAGGTAGTCCATGCCACGGGCCAGGTCTGCAGTACTAACCTGTTTCTGAGCCAGGTAGTCTAAGCCACGGGCCAGGTCTGCAGTACTAACCTGTTTCTGAGCCAGGTAGTCCATGCCGCGGGCCAGGTCTGCAGTACTAACCTGTTTCTGAGCCAGGTAGTCCATGCCGCGGGCCAGGTCTGCAGTACTAACCTGTTTCTGAGCCAGGTAGTCCATGCCGCGGGCCAGGTCTGCAGTACTAACCTGTTTCTGAGCCAGGTAGTCCATGCCGCGGGCCAGGTCTGCAGTACTAACCTGTTTCTGAGCCAGGTAGTCCATGCCGCGGGCCAGGTCTGCAGTACTAACCTGTTTCTGAGCCAGGTAGTCCATGCCGCGGGCCACGTCCGCAGCAAAGTGCAGCAGCTGTTGTGAGGTGAGGGTGGAGGCGGTGCTGTTAGCGATAGCGAAGGCCGGGTCAGTCTCCAACACTCTGCTCTTCCTCAGGAAGTCCAACAGGTTACCGTGAGGGGCGAACTCTATGGCCAGGTACAGATAGCCTGGAGACATGGTAGAAAAACCTGGTTAATAATATCATATACCATTTTACTCTATTGCTAGTTAGAGATATCCTGAAGAGAGGTAACAGAGAGAAACCCATCTGATCAACAGGCCAGTAAAACCCATCTGATCAACAGGCCAGTAAAACCCATCTGATCAACAGGCCCAGTAAAACCCATCTGATCAACAGGCCAGTAAAACCCATCTGATCAACAGGCCAGTAAAACCCATCTGATCAACAGGCCCAGTAAAACCCATCTGATCAACAGGCCAGTAAAACCCATCTGATCAACAGGCCAGTAAAACCCATCTGATCAACAGGCCAGTAAAACCCATCTGATCAACAGGCCCAGTAAAACCCATCTGATCAACAGGCCCAGTAAAACCCATCTGATCAACAGGCCAGTAAAACCCATCTGATCAACAGGCCTAGTAAAACCCATCTGATCAACAGGCCACTAAAACCCATCTGATCAACAGGCCCAGTAAACCCATCTGATCACCAGGCCCAGTAAAACCCATCTGATCAACGGCCCAGTAAACCCATCTGATCAACAGGGCCAGTAAAACCCATTGATCAACAGCCCAGTAAAACCCATCTGATAACAGGCCCCAGTCTAGTAAAACCCATCTGATCAACAGGCCCAGTTAAAAACCCCATTGATCAACAGGCCAGTAAAACCCATCTGATCAACAGGCCCAGTAAAACCCCATCTGATCAACAGCCCAGTAAAACCCAATCTAATCAACAGGCCCAGTTAAACCCATCTGATCAACAGGCCAGTGTAAAACCCAATGCTGATCAACAGGCCCAGGTAAAACCCATCTGATCAACAGGCCAGTAAAAACCCCATCTGATCAACAGGCCCAGTTAAAACCCATCTGATCAACAGGCCCAGTAAAACCCATCTGATCAACACAGGCCCACGGTAAAACCCATCTGATCAACAGGCCCAGTAAAACCCATCTGATCAACAGGCCCAGTAAAACCCATCTGACCAACAGGCCAGTAAAACCCATCTGATCAACAGGCCCAGTAAAACCCATCTGATCAACAGGCCCAGTAAAACCCATCTGATCAACAGGCCCAGTAAACCCATCTGACCAACAGGCCAGTAAAACCCATCTGATCAACAGGCCAGTAAAACCCATCTGATCAACAGGCCCAGTAAAACCCATCTGACCAACAGCCCAGTAAAACCCATCTGATCAACAGGCCCAGTAAAACCCATCTGATCAACAGGCCCAGTAAAACCCATCTGATCACCAGGCCAGTAAAACCCATCTGATCAACAGGCCAGTAAAAGAGAGCTGTTTGTATCGTACCTCTGTGTTCATCATAACAATACTATTATTATATTACCTCTGTGTTCACAGGCCCCCAGTAGGTTGATGATGTTGGGGTGGTGACCTAGTTTACACAGCACCTCCAGTTCCCCTGCAAAGTCCCTGTGGTCATCTTTAGAGGCATACTCTGTGGGGGACACACACACACAAGACACACACACACACACACAAGATACACACACACACACACAAGATACACACACACACACACACACACAAGATACACAGACACACACACACACACACACAGAGTTGTAACACTAAAATCAAAGTCCCTGTGGTGGTCTTTAGAGGCATACTCTGTCAGAAACACAAATCACTGACTGAGCCTTTAAGTCTCAGAAATATACAGTGGGGAAATTTGTTTTTAGTCAGCCACCAATTGTGCAAGTTCTCCCACTTAAAAAGATGAGAGAGGCCTGTAATTTTCATCATAGGTACACGTCAACTATGACAGACAAATTGAGAAAAAAAATCCTTTAATGAATTTATTTGCAAATTATGGTGGAAAATAAGTATTTGGTCACCTACAAACAAGATTTCTGGCTCTCACAGACCTGTAACTTCTTCTTTAAGAGGCTCCTCTGTCCTCCACTCGTTACCTGTATTAATTGCACCTGTTTGAACTTGTTATCAGTATAAAAGACACCTGTCCACAACCTCAAACAGTCACACTCCAAACTCCACTATGGCCAAGACCAAAGAGCTGTCAAAGGACACCAGAAACAAAATTGTAGACCTGCACCAGGCTGGGAAGACTGAATCTGCAATAGGTAAGCAGCTTGGTTTGAAGAAATCAACTGTGGGAGCAATTATTAGGAAATGGAAGACATACAAGACCACTGATAATCTCCCTCGATCTGGGGCTCCATGCAAGATCTCACCCCGTGGGGTCAAAATGATCACAAGAACGGTGAGCAAAAATCCCAGAACCACACGGGGGTGACCTAGTGAATGACCTGCAGAGAGCTGGGACCAAAGTAACAAAGCCTACCATCAGTAACACATTACGCCGCCAGGGACTCAAATCCTGCAGTGCCAGACGTGTCCCCCTGCTTAAGCCAGTACATGTCCAGGCCCGTCTGAAGTTTGCTAGAGTGCATTTGGATGATCCAGAAGAGGATTGGGAGAATGTCATATGGTCAGATGAAACCAAAATATAACTTTTTGGTAAAAACTCAACTCGTCGTGTTTGGAGGACAAAGAATGCTGAGTTGCATCCAAAGAACACCATACCTACTGTGAAGCATGGGGGTGGAAACATCATGCTTTGGGGCTGTTTTTCTGCAAAGGGACCAGGACGACTGATCCGTGTAAAGGAAAGAATGAATGGGGCCATGTATTGTGAGATTTTGAGTGAAAACCTCCTTCCATCAGCAAGGACATTGAACGTGGCTGGGTCTTTCAGCATGACAATGATCCCAAACACACCGCCCGGGCAACGAAGGAGTGGCTTCGTAAGAAGCATTTCAAGGTCCTGGAGTGGCCTAGCCAGTCTCCAGATCTCAACCCCATAGAAAATCTTTGGAGGGAGTTGAAAGTCCGTGTTGCCCAGCGACAGCCCCAAAACATCACTGCTCTAGAGGAGATCTGCATGGAGGAATGGGCCAAAATACCAGCAACAGTGTGTGAAAACCTTGTGAAGACTTACAGAAAACGTTTGACCTGTGTCATTGCCAACAAAGGGTATATAACAAAGTATTGAGAAACTTTTGTTATTGACCAAATACTTATTTTCCACCATAATTTGCAAATAAATTCATTAAAAATCCTACAATGTGATTTTCTGGATTTTTTTTTCTCATTTTGTCTGTCATAGTTGACGTGTACCTATGATGAAAATTACAGGCCTCTCTCATCTTTTTAAGTGGGAGAACTTGCACAATTGGTGGCTGACTAAATACTTTTTTTCCCCACTGTACCAAGGTTGTGTCTTCCATGATCGTTATCGATGGTGAGACATTAAATCTACTCATTCATTGATTAATTAATTGATCCATCCATTTATCAGTCCATTCATCCATCTATCCATTCATTCAAGGTGCACAGCCTCACCTTTCATGCGTTTGATAGCAGCGTCCATCCTCAGCCCGTCCTTCTTGATGCGGGCTTTGAGCACCTGGCCAAAGTTTCCCTCTCCGATGACGTCCTGGAACTTGATGTCGCTCCACTCCAGGGTGGGGTAGGCCACGGGCTTCTCTGGGTTCTTCTGTTTCTTATTGGGCAGGTTGAGAGAGCCAGAACTGAACTGGACCACTGGCTCCTCTCTCTAACACATGGAAAAAATAAAATCCGAGATGTTTCTAGAAATGTCATAATCTGTGATCGTTATCATTCAGATATCTGTGTTTATAGTATGTACAGCATGGGCAACGTTAGAGAGACGTAGTCCTCTGTAGCTCAGCTGGTAGAGCGTGGCGCTTGTAACGCCAGGGTAGTGGGTTCGATCCCCGGGACCACCCTTACGTTAAAATTTATGCACACATGACTGTAAGTTGCTTTGGATAAAAGCGTCTGCTAAATGGCTTCTTATATATAGGATATGATACTTCATTGCCCTCAAGAGTGAACTTGTCTTGCACAATTGAAAAGCTTTCTGAAACAATGGGAGAGTTATTCAGGCCAACCCCAACCTACCAGTGTATTCTGAAACGCCTGAGAGTCAAGACAACATATTTTTATTGCCCCTGGGGGTATAAACCAAGTTGTATTGATTTGAACTCACCACTATATTCTGGAAGGCCTGGGGCCTCATTTATCAAACATTGCGTAGAAACTCTTCTAAAATACTACTTACGAATGTGTTTTGGAATGTTCATCTGCATAGAAAAAGTGAGATTTATCAAACAATCCTACGACCTTCATTCACACACCGGTAGGAGATAACCGTTGATACATACCAATTGTTCTCAGCCTCAGTACTGGTACACAACCTTGGTTATTTGCATTTTGAAACGTTCCTAATTAACCATATATGGTCGAAATCATCCCTTTAAAGCCTGCGGGAATATATAACGCCGTACCATGAAATAGCCTACAACAGCGCAACTGAAAAAAAGCTTAGAATTAGAGGTGCTGGTGTCAGGCGATTGAGTACAAGCAAAATGTTTTATTTGGCTCGCTCGGTTGTGGTTTGACCAGTAAAAATAAAAACATAGCTACAAAGAGAGGACCATTGGGACAATTCAAGTTGCTTTAGCAATGGAACATTTACTTCAAATGAGTAGTTCAAGAAATAGAGTTAAGAAAAGATTTACTAAATAAAGTAAAAAATAAAATAAAAAGTAACACAATAAAACAACAATAACGAGGCTATATACAGGGGGTACCGGTACCGAGTCAATGTGCGGGGGTACAGGTTAGTCGAGGTAATTTGTACATGTAGGTAGGGGTAAAGTGACTATGCATAGATAATAAACAGCGAGTACAGGGGGTCAATGTAAATAGTCAGGGTGGGCATTTGATTAATTGTCTTATGGTTTGGGGATAGAAGCTGTTAAGGAGCCTTTTGGACCTAGACTTGGCGCTCCGGTACCGCTTGCCGTGCGGTAGCAGAGAGAACAGTCTATGACTTGGGTGACTGGTGTCTTTGACAATTTCTTGAGTCGTGTGTTCCACCTGTTCACCTGGCCACCACATTCAGCAGCGTTTTTTTGCGCAGCACATAACCTATCACCTGCTCATAAAGAGTGGAAGCCTTTTCTTTTCACATAGTTGAACACGTTTTGGGAAGGTGCTTCTATGGCGACGTGGGTGGCCGTCTTCGTAGGCTACTTGGGAACCCGTTGATGGCAAAGAAACCCCTCTTGACTTCAACCTGTTGTGCGATGGTGTATGGAAATAGTATGTTACAGTTGGTTTTGCTGACGACTGCATCCAAAACACTGGCTCATCGAGGGATGTGAGATGCCGAACGGAAAGCTCCCGCCTGAGGGTGGAGAGCACTTTGATGCACACCTGAATGGGATGGGTTTGCCTTTCTAAAGTAGGTCTGAAATTCTCACAAGGATCCTACGATTGGTTTTGGGAAACGATATCTGATGAGCCAATCTGTACTTTCGGGCAAAAAGTCCCACCGGTCTCTAAAAACGCGCTCTGCGAAATGCAGCGTGTGACAAATATTCCAACAGAACAAGATCAGCCATGTCTCTCATTCCATTTCCCATGATCTGTCTTCTATAGTATTTGAACAATGGTTTCACTTTCACATGTACCTCTCATTTAACACATTACTGCACTTCATATGGATTATTATCGTAAACAAATGCACTGATGTGGTCAAATAATATATAGCCTGTCAAGATCTGTTGCATGATTTCACAATGGAAATACAATTACATTGAACAATTATTGAATTATTACTCTCTCATTCAAGGGTTTTTCTTTATTTTGACTATTTTCTATATTGTAGAATAATAGTGAAGACATTAAAACTATGAAATAACACATATGGAATCATGTAGTAACCAACAAAGTGTTAAACAAATCAAAATAGGTAGGTGGGGGTTATACAGAAGATAGCCCTATTTGGTAAAAGACCAAGTCCATATTATGGCAAGAAAAGCTCAAATAAGCAAAGAGAAACAACAGTCCATCATTACTTTAAGACATGAAGGTCAGTCAATACGGAACATTTCAAGAACTGTGAAAGTTTCTTCAAGTGCAGCCTCAAAAAACCATCAAGTGCTATGATGAAACTTGCTCTCATGAGGACCACCACAGGAATGGAAGACCCAGAGTTACCTCTGCTGCAGAGGATAAGTTCATTAGAGTTACCAGCCTCAGAAATTGCAGCCCAAATAAATTCTTCACAGAGTTCAAGTCAGAGACACATCTCAACATGAACTGTTCAGAGGGGACTGTGTGAATCAGGCCTTCATGGTCGAATTGCTGCAGAGAAACCACTACTAAAGGACACCAATAAGAAGAAGAGACTTGCTTGGACCAAGAAACACAAGTGATGGACATTAGACCGGTGGAAATCGGTCCTTTGGTCTGGAGTCCAAATGGGAGATTTTTGGTTCCAACCGCCTTTTCTTTGTGAGATGCGGTGTGGGTGAACGGATGATCTCTGCATGTGTAGTTCCCACCGTAAAGCATGGAGGAGGAGGTGTTATGGTGTGGGGGTGCTTTGCTGGTGACACTGTCTGTGATTTATTTAGAATTCAAGGTACACTTAACCAGCATGGCTACCACAGCGATACGCCATCCCATCTGGTTTGGGCTTAGTGGGACTATCATTTGTTTTTCAACAGGACAATGACCCAACACACCTCCAGGCTGTGTAAGGGCTATGTTACCAAGAAGGAGAGTGATAGAGTGCTGCATCAGATGACCTGGCCTCCACAATCCCCCGACCTCAACCCAATTGAGATGGTTTGGGATGAGTTGGACCGCAGAGTGAAGGAAAAGCAGCCACCAAGTGAAGACATGCCTGGGGCGGCAGATAGCTTAGTGGGTAAGAGCGTTGTGCCAGTAGCCGAAAGGTCGCTGGTTCTAATCCCCGAGCCGACTAGGTGAAAAATCTGTCTGTGCCCACTTAACCCAAATTGCTCTGGATAAGAGCGTCTGCTAAAATGACTAAAAAAAACAAGTACTCAGCATATGTGGGAGCTCCTTCAACACTGTTGGAAAAGCATTCCAGGTGAAGCTGGTTGAGAGAATGCCAAGAGTGTGCAAAGCTGTCATAAAGGCAAAGGGTGGCTATTTGAAGAATATAAAATATATTTTGATTTGTTTGACACTTTTTTGTTTACTGCATGATTCCATATGTGTTATTTCATAGTTTTGATGTCTTCACTATTATTCTACGATGTAGAAAATAGTAAAAATAAAGAAAAACCCTTGAATGAGGAGGTGTGTCCAAACCTTCTACTGGTACTGTACATACTGAACAAAAAGCTAAACGCAACACGTAAAGTGTCAGTCCCATACTTCCTGTGCTGAAATAAAAGATCCCAGAAATTTTCCAAAAAAGCGTATTTCTCTTAAATTTTGTGCACACATTTGTTTACATCCCTGTTAGTGAGAATTTATCCTTGCCAAGATAATCCATCCACCTGACAGGTGTGGCATATCAAGAAGCTGATTAAACTCCATGATCATTACACAGGTGCACCTTGTGCTGGGAACAATAAAAGGCCACTCTAAAAGCTTTTTTCACAGAACACAATGCCGCAGATGTCTGAAGTTGAGGGAGCGTGCCAGAGAATTGAATGTTCAATTCTCTACCATAAGCCGCCTCTAACATCATTTTAGAGAATTTGGCAGTACATCCAACCGGCCTCACAACCGCAGACCACATGTAACCACGCCAGCCCAGGACCTCCACATCTGACTTCTTCACCTGTGGGATCATCTGAGACCAGCCACCAGGACAGCTGATGAAACTGAAGAGTATATCTGTCTGTAATAAAGCCCTTTTGTGGGGAAAAGCTAATTCTGATTGGCTGGGCCTGGCTCCCCCAGTGGGTGGGTCTATGCCCTCCCAGGCCCACCCATGGTTGCACCCCTGCCCAGTCATGTGAAATCCATAGATTAGGGCCTAATGAATTTATTTCAATTGACTGATTTCCTTATATGAACTCTAACTCAGTAAAATCGTTGAAATTGTTGCGTTTATATTTTTGTTCAGTATATTTTCCCCATGCTTGACAAGCAGTTCCCTTATTCCACCACTTGGCACTGTGCCTACGTATGGTCACGGCTGTGCAGAAATGTACGCACAGTCTCAAGCAAACGTTCTTATTGATAAATCCCACGCATGGTTTACGCACAGATTTGTGCCCTACGCACTGTTGATACATGGGGCTCCTGGACCATGGAGTCACCACGAGATTCTGGAGGCCTCTCAGCAAACCGGTACCATTCCCAGAACATTAGCTAAGATTCCCATTAAAGTTCTAAATAGGGTTTTTATCTAACATTAGGATAACATTTGTTTATTTTTAAGTTTTGAATGAAATATCCTTGGAATGTTCTCCTAACGTTCACTAAAATGTTGTGCACAACATCTGTAACAACCGCCGCCACAGAACATTCATTAAAAGTTCTCATTAGGTTTCCAGGTAATGTAATAGCTCAAGTAATGTTTCCCAGCAAACCAAATATTGGTTCTGTGGCAGTTCCCAGAACATTAGTTAGATTGCGGCAAATGTTCTCATAATACAAAAACTGTCCAGTTATGCTGATGATTATACAATGTTTGTATAAAACATTCGCCTGATGTTGCAAGAACGTTCCCAGAACACATTTAATCTGCTCTTTAAATGTTCCCAGATTGTTTCATTAGGTTGTGGGAACAGTTCGGTGGGAACATTGTGGGGACATCACAAAAGATATGTTCCCAAAACACAAAAACTGTCCAGTTGTGCAGATGATTCTACAACGTTTATTTTAGGGTGCAAAAAACATTCACCTGATTTTACAAAATCGCAAATGGATCCACTGCTGCCATGAAGGGATGCACCTGATTGGCTATGATGTTCAGATATTTTGTGGCATTCAAACTTTGCTCCACTTTTATCAAGGGGCCCAATGTGTGCCATGAAAACACACCCCACACCACCACACCACCTACCACCAGCCTGCAACTTTGACACGCGGCATGACGGATGCATGTACTCGTGGTTTTCTCCAAACCCTAGTCCTCCCATCAGCATGAAACAGCAGGAACTGGGATTCATCAGACCAGGCAATGTTTTTCCAATTCTCCAGTGTTTTCATTCCTTTGCCCACTGCAACCCTAGTTTCTAGTTTTTTTGCTGAAAGAAGTGGAACTCTGTAAGGTCGTCGGCTGCCATACCCCGTTCACGTCAAGGTACGACGAGATGTGCATTATTTTATGGGTTTTTGGGCAACAATATTGTACTGGACTGTCAGTTGACCAACTGTAGCCGTCTATTGCTCTGCATCAATGACCCGTTTTCAACCACTGGCCTGTCGATGGCTGGATGTCCTTTGGGTGGTGGACCATTGAAAAACACAGCAGCATTACAGTTCTTGACACACTCAAACTGGTGCGCCTGGCATCTACTTCCATAACCCGTTCAAAGACACTTCAATCTTTTGTCTTGACCATTCCCCCTCTGGATGGCACACATACACAATCCATGTCTCAATTGTCTCAAGGCTTAAACGTCCTTCTTTAACCTGTCTCCTCCCCTTCATCTACACTGATTGAAGGTGACATCAATACAGGATCATAGCGTTCACCTGCTCAGTCTATGTCATGGAAAGAGCAGGTGTTCCTAATGTTTTGTACACTCAGTGTACATTTAACCTTGTCTTAAGAGGTCCATTAATATCACCATTACATTTTCAGCATGCAAATGTGTATCTCCTTTAAGCAGATTGGTATACATCCCCATTAGATTTCTCTCCAGATTTAATTGCAATTCACATTTGAGGACTGTATACCCACTACAAGGAGATGTTACACACAGCATTTTAATTTCACAGGACATTTGAATAGCATTTAATCATACAAACACTAACATATGTTTTATATGTTGACAATCCACACATGTGGGCTTTGAACCTGCAACGTTTGGTTCCTAAGCCAAGTCTTCTATCCTCTGCACCACCAGGGAAGCTCTCTTGCATCTACTTTTTTCAGTATATAGCCATGGCAGTATGGTTGCCATGGCAGTATGGTTGCCATGGCAGTATGGTTGCCATGGCAGTATGGTTGCCATGGCAGTACCGTCAATCAGGAATTCCATGCTTCCTGTTTTAACCTTCTTAGACATAACTGACCCCAGGGAAATACTGGTAACTGGGTTATTCACCATCACTTCACCCATCCTCTTTATATGCTGCGTACTTCTGGGCCCATATTTACAAGGTATCCAAGACTATGAGCGCTGATCTAGGATCACTTTTGCTTTTCAGATCATAACAAAATAAGACCGGAAGGGTCATCCAAGACTCTGAGTGCTCATCTAGGCTCATGACAAATAGGACTGAGGGGCACATGTCAAGTGTCTCAAAGTAGGAGTTATATCTGGTGTGTAAAAACTAGAAGAAAAAAAAAGTATGTTTTACACAACGGTGAATTTTTTTTACAGTTGGTCTAAATTCTGCATTTCTGACTGGATTTATAAATCTGGATGACATAAAGACATCCTCTCATTTAGTAGAGTGTATCTGAGCCCCAATTTCACCATTGTTTGTATTTGTTTATTTTTTAAGAAACATGGTTAAAATGCCAATTGTCTCTATATCCCCTACAAGACAGTCCTTCAGTCTAGAGATAAACATACTGGAGATGCATTCCTGTTAGGCCTACTGCTGCTAGGTAGCTCTCTCTCTGCTCTTCAATCAAGTTAAATCATGACACATTCCAATATGCTTTAAGAAGCTAAAAATGTGCATGCTGAGAATGTTGTGTTAATATTAGGTAAAACTTAAATAAAATATTTTCAAAATGTTCTTGAAATGTTCTGAGGACCTCCAAGACAAGGTTAAATGTATATTGTGTGAACATTGAATGAAATGTTATGTTAACGCTAAAACAAATATGCTATGAACGTCATAACAGCTGACTTATTTGGAAATTGTAGAACATTGTGGGAATGTTATGTGCAACCTATGTGAATATCACAATAATATTATTGCAACATTCCAGACAACTCCCATAACTTAATTAAATGTTCTCGGAACCTTTAAAGAACTTAGACCAGGTGTTCAACATTCTTTCAACATTATAGGAATGTCCTGTGCAACCTAACTTAAACATTGCATGAAGGTCATTACAACTGAGCATCATTTGTGTTTTGGGAACCTCTCTCTTGTAATGTAACCATACTGTTCCCACAACCTAATTACATGTTCTGGGAACCTTTAAAGCACTCAGAAAGGCTGTTCTGTCAACATTCTTGCAACATCAAAGGAATGTTTTGTGCAACCTGATAAAACATTATCTAAATGTCAGCACAACTGGACAGTTTTATTGTTTTTTAGGAACCTATCTCTTGTCATATGTTCCCACAACCTAATGAAACATTCTAAGAACAGATTAAATGTGTTCCAGGAACATTCTTGCAACACCAGGCAAACGTTTCATACAAGCATTCTATTATCATCAGCACGACTGGACATGAGAACATTTACCGCGACCTGATGAATGTTCTGGGAACTTTCACAGAACCAATTTCGGTTTGCCCGGGCTGGACCCAGAACTCACCACTATGTTCTGGAAGGCCTGGACCATGCGTCTCTGGAAGGTGGCTCTCTTCAGCTGTAGGACGATGCAGAAGGCCAGGTCGGATGGTGCTGGCAAGGTCATCCCAGCAGAACCCAGGATGGCATAGAACAACATGTTGCCCTCGCTGCCAAGCCCAGCTAGACCTGGGGGAGGGGAGGGAGGAGGGGGAGGGGAGGGAGAGGGGAGGAGGGGAGGAGGGGAGGAGGGGGAGGAGGAGGGAGGGGGAGGAGGGGGGGAGGAGGGGAGGAGTTCTTCGATTTCTTCGTTCTTTGCGTGCGTTGGAGTTGCTGTGATTTGGTTGAGGAGGGGTTTCTTCTTTGTCTTGGGGTCTGGTGTTGCGAGGTTCTTTTGGGATTTCTTGTTCTTCTTTCTTCGTCCTTGTGCGTTTTTTTTGTTCTTTTCGCGTTTTCTGGATGAGATAGGATCCTCATTTTTCGCCCCTCTTTAGGTTCGGCCACATCCAATAACTTGGCTTTAACGCTTCCTGTGGGTTAAGCCTGATGAAGACCTTTGGGTCGAAAACGTTGCATAATAAACTGCGGGAGCATTCATCAGTGGCTACAGTCATGGAAACGTTACTACTTAGTCCCCGGTAGTTGTGTCACATTGAGTGGGTTGTAATCTTAGTCCCCGGTAGTTGTGTCACATTGAGTGGGTTGTAATCTTAGTCCCCGGTAGTTGTGTCACATTGAGTGGGTTGTAATCCTGAAACCCAGAACCAAACCTCACTTTTGCCAGCTACTTGATTTATAGCATTAAGTGGGGGGTTGTTGGGGGCTAATCTGAACTAAGCAGGGGGTGGATGGTGGAGGGAGGGTTTGGGTCATGGGGGGATAGAGTGAGGGTTTGGGTCATGGGGGGTTGGAGTGAGGGTTTGGATCATGGGGGGATAGAGTGAGGGTTTGGATCATGGGGGGATAGAGTGAGGGTTTGGATCATGGGGGATAGAGTGAGGGTTTGGATCATGGGGGGATAGAGTGAGGGTTTGGATCATGGGGGGATAGAGTGAGGGTTTGGGTCATGGGGGGATAGAGTGAGGGTTTGGGTCATGGTCGTCGTGAGGTAATGTGATACTAACTTATGGGAGACTCCTGTGGTGTCATGGTACAGATGGGGATATGAGGTTTTGTGTGATGTATTGTGGGTAACTAACTTACTGGTGTGATGTACTGTGGGTAACTAACTTACTGGGGTGATGTACTGTGGGTAACTAATTTATTGGTGTGATGTATTTTGGGGTAACTAACCTACTGGTGTGATGTATTGTGGGTAACTAACCTACTGGTGTGATGTATTTTGGGTAACTAATTTACTTGTGAGATGTATTGTGGGTAACAAACTTACTGGATATTTCCTGTGATGTATTGTGGGTAACTAACTTACGGGATATTTCCTGTGATGTATTGTGGGTAACTAACTTACGGGATATTTCCTGTGATGTATTGTGGGTAACTAACTTACGAGAGCTCTCCTGCAGTGTCATGGTCCGAAGGGGGATCTGAGGTTTCTCTAGACTCTCCCCCATGTTGTTCTTGGACCAGAACTCCACCAGGTACGGAGTGTCAGGTTTCAGACCACGCAACTGGAACTGCATCTGATTGGCTAACTGTCCCTGTAGCCCCTCCTCCACCTGCTGAGGAACGTTGATCTCTGCCAGCTGGCTGTAGTCGGCCAGGGTGTTGTCTTGGAAACGCAGCATCACCTAAGGAGCACATTGGAAATAAGGCTGCAGGTTTCTTATTGTGCTAAATCCTTGTAAATTGTTAAGAAAGTGTGCTATGTTGTGTCTCTGGCTGGAGCGGCTTTATACGTATTTTAATTAGCAAATATATTCAAATAATCAATCAATGAATGACCTTGGAGATGGAGTGACCCTCGGCCAGAGACCAGGTAATGATAGCTGAGGTGTCTGTGATGTTGCAGCTCCTGATGTTGGACGGGGCCGGGGGCAACTCTGACAGAACATGGGATAGGTGTTAAGAGTAGTTCACTTTGAAGGGAAGTTGAAGAAATGAAAAGATGTTCTAGCCGTATACGCACAGTAGGATTTGTGTAGAAGACGTCTGTAGCGCCATAGCAGCAGCCCTGTGGCAAGCTGGAGAAAACAACACCCTACTCTTTTCTAAAAGGCAAGCAAACTAAATCAACGCAGTCAAGCAATAAAGATTCACAATTTTCTAGTGCTCCTTTTCATTTTTGGCGGATCATCTTCCACTGGTCGTTGAGTTGTTAAGTTATTCAATCTGATAAAAGTGTGTTTTGGCAGTCATTACCGTTGCTAAGTGTCCATGCAGAGACGGGTTGGCTGTGCTGTCCCACCGACACCGTCATCATCATCACGCTGCACTCATACTTGTGTCTGGGCTTCAAGTCTAGAAGTTTGAGGCCAGTGGAGTTGGATGGGAGCCGGTAAGGCTTAATGGTCCCCGGGTCAGAACTCTGAACACACTCCACCTGATAATAGAATAACATCACGCGGTCCTCTGTAGCTCAGCTGGTAGAGCACGGCGCTTATAACGCCAGGGTAGTGGGTTCGATCCCCGGGACCACCCATATGTAAAAATGTATGCGCACATGACTGTAAGTCGCTTTGGATAAAAGTGTCTGCTAAATGGCATATTATTATCAATCAGAATCACTTTTATTCGTACCAGGAATTTGACCTGGTGAAGTGGTGCTGACATAGTCAATAGATGAATAATGTACACATCATTTAAATACTGTAGCAGATACTGTTGCTGTTAACCAAACGCAACTTACAGTGAGTGCATGCATTTTAATGTATGTGCCCCCAAGTGGGAATTGAACCCTTTAACCCTGGCATTGCTAGCACTATTACCGATGGAGCCACGCTTACCTGGTAGGTCCAGTCCTCCGTAGCCGACCCAGGCCCCATCACACGGTCCCAGGACAGGCCCAGGGAGGTCTGGGATATGGGGACCAGCCTAACCCCCGAGGGGAGCGGGAGGTCTGGAGGGGGGAAGGGAGTCGTGAAGGTCAATTAACCCCTGATGCATGGCTGTCTAACACTCACAGGAGTCTACAGCCATGTCTCAGGGTTAGAGGTCATTGGGAGACTGGGATCCCGCCATTGGTCAGTTGATTTAGTAGTGAAATGCTGTGTAACTCAGAGGTTAGTGGTAAATCAGGTTCCTGTAAGGCCTCCATGTCTCATTTGTAATGTCAAGATCAGAATAACATTTATTGTGTCCATAGAGATACAGTGAGGGAAGAAAGTATTTGATCCCCTGCTGATTTTGTACTGTTTGCCCACTGACAAAGAACTGATCAGTCTATAATTTAAATGGTTGGATTTATTTGAACAGTGAGAGACAGAATAACATGGCCGAGCAGCCGCACACAAGTCTAAGATCACCGTGCGCAATGCCAAGCGTCGGCTGGAGTGGTGTAAAGCTCGCCGCCATTGGACTCTGGAGCAGTGGAAACGCGTTCTCTGGAGTGATGAATCACGCTTCACCATCTGGCAGTCCAACGGACTAATCTGGGTTTGGCGGATGCCATGAGAACGCTACCTGCCCCAATGCATAGTGCCAACTGTAAAGTTTGGTGGAGGAGGAATAATGGTCTGGGGCTGTTTTTCATGGTTCGGGCTAGGCCCCTTAGTTCCAGTGAAGGGAAATCTTAACGCTACAGCATACAAATGACATTCTAGACAATTCTGTACTTCCAACTTTGTGGCAACAGTTTGGGGAAGAGTGTGCATGACAATGCCTCCGTGCACAAAGCGAGGTCCATACAGAAATGGTTTGTCGAGTTGGTGTGGAAGAACTTGACAGGCCTGCACAGAGCACTGACCTCAACCCCATCGAACACCTTTGGGATGAATTGGATCGCCGACTGCGAGCCAGGCCTAATCACCCAACATCACTAATGCTCTTGTGGCTGAATGGAAGCAAGTCCCTGTAGCAATGTTCAAACATCTAGTGGAAAGCCTTCCCAGAAGAGTGGAGGCTGTTTTAGCAACAAAGAGGGGACCAACTCCATATTAATGACCATGATTTTGGAATGAGATGTTCGACAAGCAGGTGTCCACATATTTTTGGTCATGTAGCGTATAGGACCTGAGGTTAAGGTTAAAGAGAATGCATCTGAATAAGGTTACTGGGGTGGTTCTTACCACAGAACTAGAATGTTGGTTAATTATAATTCTGTGGTTCTTACAAAGCCATTCTAATTCTATGGATCGTATGGTTCTATGGTTCTCACCAAGCATCTGTGTGGAGAAGCTGGCCTCTGGACCTGGAAACCCTACCCCCCCGGCGCCATGGCGACTCAGCTGGATGAAGGTGGTGTAGTGGGTCATCGGAGACAGGTTCTCTAGCTTCACCACCGGACCAACCCACTGAGAGAGAGAGGGAGGGAGAGAGAGAGACGAGAGAGACGAGAGAGAGGAGACCAGAACGGAGGGGAGAAGGAATCCGAGAGATATCCGCTCTTCTTTTCCCTTCTGGGAGGAGGTAGAAACGAGAGAGAGGAGATGAGAGTAGAGAGAGAGACTGAGAGAGAGAGGCGAGACGATGCAGAGAGATGAGAGGGGACGACGAGACGAGAGAGCGGGGGAGAGGAGAGTATGAGGCGGATCGAGATGAGCAGGAGGATGGGAGGAAGGAGAGTTCGGAGAGGTATCAGAGAAGAAGAGAAGGGAGAGAGAGAGTCATCACTTAGATCCATCAATGACTCCATATGATGATGTTGCCAATAGTTTCTACATGCACATAAAGAAAGTAATGCTTGGAAGAACACATTCGTGGAAGGGGACATTCTGGAACCAATGATGGTAGTTTCCAACACACAATAACACACCTCTGGGAGATGATATCGTTCTAATTGTTCAGTACAGTCATGATAACAAGTGGGATTAAGTGCCAGGAAACATTTAGTGAAGCTCACAGGAATGTGATATCTCTGTCACACTTCATGGGTAACATTTAGCAAATCATTGTACATACTTTTTTTTAGGACCACCGAGACCCCCCCCCCCCCCCCCCTCTGTCCATACGATCCTATTCATTATAAAGGCCTGTTCATGTATTTGATCTCCTACTCTGAGGAATGGAGCCATGGGAGTACTGTTCATCAATAAAGAGTTCCTGTCTGTGGTGTATAGCAGTTCCCAAACGTTTTATTAATTTTTTTAAGGAATTCATTCCGGCTTTCAACTTACTCTTGAAGTTGTAACTTTAGAATGCACAAGGTTCAATTTCGAAATTGGGTCGTGCATCATCAGTTCCTCTTGTCGTGTCAGTCATTGTATACCTTTAGAAAGCTGTTTATAACTTGTCAGAAATGTGCAGATCAACTAGCACATGTCAGCTAACATTTTTTGATTTAGTTTTTTTTTGCCCATAGATCTAGTTTTAATTTTTTAGTCACTCAAATATCACATGAATACACATTAGACATGGCAAAATGCATAGAATTGCAAGAAAATTAGCTTTAAAACTGAAACATTTTATTCGCACCACATGACAAAATGTAGAGAACTGCAGGAACTAAGCTGTAAACCTGCAACATTCTCTCCACAAACAAGAGGTGTGTGAACAGTTTGTTATGAACAGTGCTTGTGCCCATACAAATAGACGTGGCGCGCAGGAGGGGCACGGGATGTTCCCCAATGCTGGAAGGGGGGCCCCCCGAGTAAAAAAGTTTGGGAACCCCTGGTACAGTACAGGTCAGAGTTCATGTCTGTGGGTGTACAGTACCTTCAACAGTCTTCCATACAGAGGTATTGACCTGCTTGTAGATGACCTTGACAGAGGTCACCGGTCCGTCTCCTGTGTACGGCTCCTTGTTGACCAACACAACCAGGTGATACGGACCACTACCGTTCAACATGGGAGGATACTGGGGCTTCGGAGGGACTGAGAGAGCGAGAGAGAGAGAGAGAGAGAGAGAGAGAGAGAGAGACAGAGAGAGACATAGACAGAGAGAGAGAGAGAGAGAGAGAGAGAGAGAGAGAGAGAGAGAGAGAGAGAGATGGGAAGAGAAGTGTTCAAATCGACATTCACAAAATGGAAGAAGACGATGAAGATGAAGGAGATGAAGGAGATGAAGAAGGTTTTCTCCTACCTTTAACGTTGACCATGAACTCTCTCTCTGCCTGCCCAGCTGTAGTTTTCACCTGACAGATCCAACGACCAGTATCTCGCTCAGTGATCTTATCCACCCTGAACTTAGACGTGGTTTGGTCATTCACCATATCAGTGTCAAATGCCTAGGAAAATATTCATCAAACCATATAAATAGAATCTCATATTAGTGCTGTGAATTAAGCATTTGATAAGAAGAAATGGCTAATGGGTTGATTGCTAATCGTGGTGATTGCTGATCATTGCTAATGCAAATTGTATTTATTTATTATCAAATCAACTTTTATCTACATAAAGAAACACATACATATCCAATTTGATCATTTCTGTGCTACTTACATAGCTTGGTCCCAAATCCATTTGTGCTGTCTTGACACCGGTGTGTCTGTGACCAGGAGTTGGCAAGACAGCACAAACAGATGTGGGACCAGATTAACACTTACATATATTCTGGTTTTGTCTGGTTTGAGTAGGATGATCTCCCTGTGTAGAGGAGCTGGTTGACCCGTGGCGCTACAGTTGACAACGTACTGAATCCCAGCGTTCAACTCTGCATCCACGAGGTTACTGACTACGACAGGTGCCCTGTCTAAAAGCAACATCATCATCATCATCAACAACAACAACAACGTACTGAATTCCTCAATTCAAGGAACAGTAACAACATCAACGTAGCTTTCATATGATAGTGGGAGAGTTTGTGGAGCTGAAGTTTAAAACTACGTTTCGAGTTTTTACCTTCTTTCTCACAGCGAGCGCCGTGTCGTCCCACACACACACAGCCACGGAACCGGTCGCACTTTCCCTTGTCTCCACATTCACACGTCAGCTTGCAGCCGGCTCCATAGAACCCCGGAGAACAAGCTGGAGACACAGGGAGAAACCCAGAAATACATGACAGCACCATCTATGAACAGCAAACCACTGTAGTTTAGCAATGAGAATGGTGATCGATCATTATAACCCCCAATCAGATAGGATAACATACTTTATGGTAGACTGGTCCCAGATCTGATTGTGCCGTCTTGCCAACTCTTACTTTATGGTAGACTGGTCCCAGATTTGATTGTGCTGTCTTGCCAACTCTTACTTTATGGTAGCCTGATCCCAGATCTCTTCCAGTCATTGATGATAATGACAACCACAGGAGCATAATGGGAATGGTAGCATAAACAGATCTGGGACCACCAGATCACAATTTCATTGTCCATTTTCATTGCTATCCATAAACATATCAATGTATATCAGTGTAGAAACAAGTCCTCTCCCTTCACCTTCACTGCAGTTGAATCCTTTCCAGCCGGTACCACAGGAGCAGCCGTATGGATCTCTCTGACAGAACACCATGGACCTGCAGTATCCGTCTCTACACCACTCCTTACACGTCCTCCCAAACTTACCCTCGCCACAAACTGGAAAATAAATTACGGTTTGATTAGGTTTAGGTTTATTTGGACATCTTGGTACATATGCAGAAATATACACTACCGGTCAAAAGTTTGGACACACCTACTCATTCAAGGGTTTTTATTTATTTATTTTTTACTATTTTCTACATTGTAGAATAATAGTGAAGACATCAAAACTATGAAATAACACATATGGAATCATGAAGTAACCAAAAAAGTGTTAAATCAAAATATATTTCATATTTGAGATTCTTCAAATACATTTTACATTTACATTTTAGTCATTTAGCAGACGCTCTTATCCAGAGCGACTTACAGGAGCAATTAGGGTTAAGTGCCTTGCTCAAGGGCACATTAACGTCATTTAGCAGACGCTCTTAGCCAGAGCGACTCACAAATTGGTGCGTTCACCCTATGCCTGGTCCCAGCCACCCTTTGCCTTGATGACAGCTTTGCACACTCTTGGCATTCTCTCAACCAGCTTCATGAGGTAGTCACCTGGAATGCATTTCAATTAACAGGTGTGCCTTCTCAAAAGTTATTTTGTGGAATTTCTTTCCTTAATGCGTTTGAGCCAATCAGTTGTGTTGTGACAAGGTAGGGGGGTATACAGAAGATAGCCCTTTTTGGTAAAAGACCAAGTCCATATTATGGCAAGAACAGCTCAAATAAGCAAAGAGAAACGGCAGTCCATTACTTTAAGACATGAAGGTCAGTCAATACAGAACATTTCAAGAACTTTGAAAGTTTCTTTAAGTGCAGTCGCAAAAACCATCAAGCACTATCATGAAACTGGCTCTCATGAGGACCGCCACAGGAATGGAAGACCCAGAGTTACCTCTGCTCAAGTTCATTAGAGTTACCAGCCTCAGAAATTGCAGCCCAAAGAAAGTTCAAGTCAGAGACACATCTCAACATGAACTGTTCAGAGGGGACTGTGTGAATCAGTCCTTCATGGTCGAATTGCTGCAAAGAAACCACTACTAGAGGATACCAATAATAAGAAGAGACCTGCTTGGGCAAAGAAACACGAGCAATAGACATTAGACCGGTGGAAATCTGTCCTTTGGTCTGATGAGTCCAAATGAGAGATTTTTGGTTCCAACCGCCGTGTCTTTGTGAGACGCGGTGTGGGTGAACGCATGATCTCCACCGTAAAGCATGGAGGAGGTGGTGTTATGGTGTGGAGGTGCTTTTCTGGTGACACTGTCTGTGATTTATTTAGAATTCAAGGCACTTATCCAGCATGGCTACCACACTATTCTGCAGCGATACGACCTCAACCAAATTGAGATGGTTTGGGATGAGTCACTCACCACCTTCCGGAGACACTTGAAACCCCACCTCTTTAAGGAATACCTGGGATAGGATAAAGTAATCCTTCTACCCCCCCTTACCCCACCCCAAAGAAAGAAAAAAAAAATACATCTTGTAAAGTGGTTATCCCACTGGCTATAAGGTGAATGCACCAATTTGTAAGTCGCTCTGGATAAGAGCGTCTGTTAAATGACGTAAATGTAAATGAGTCGGACGGCAGAGTGAAGGAAAAGCAGCCAACAAGTGCTCAGCATATGTGGGAACTCCTTCAAGACTGTTGGAAAAGCATTCCAGGTGAAGCTGGTTGAGAGAATGCCAAGAGTGTGCAAAGCTGTCATCAAGGCAAAGGGTGGCTACTTGAAGAATCTCAAATATAAAATATATTTTGATTTGTTTAACACTTTTTTGGTTACTACATTATTCCATATGTGTTATTTCATAGTTGTTATGTCTTCACTATTATTCTACAATGTAAAAAATAGTAAAAATAAAGAAAAAACCTTGAATGAGTAGGTGTTCTAAAACTTTTGACCGGTAGTGTATATAAAATGTAATGTCATTCAATATGTTAACAAACACTTAAAAAAGAGATCATCCTAAATATATGGACCGTGCATCATCATTAAGACACTAAAATCACTAAATACACATACTAAATGTCTTTAGTGATTATAGAGGGTCATTTGCTTAGCTTGACAGCTATTGGTTACCACCTACTGCCCTGACCACACCACACACTGAAAAAACGAATGGCATTCCAGCATTCGAAAGTTCCTACCAACATTCCGATGGTGATTTGAAAACATTCCAAAGAGTGAGATAAGAGAACATAGCACTAAATCACATCACACGTAATCAGCCAGGACACATTTACTAGACAGTAAACCACATTCCCCTTCGGGACAATAAAGTTTTCAATCAATGAATCAATTATAACATTGAAATGAATGCCTGTAATGATAAATAACAGGTATAAGATAAATAGGATATGTATACATTTAACCCCCACACAACCCCAACAATCACACACGTATATTGTGCCTTCAGAAAGTATTTACACCACTTGACTTGTTCCACATTTTGTTGTGTTACAGCCTGAATTCAAAATGGATTAAACTGAGATTTTGTATCACTGATCTACACACAACACCCCATAATGTCAAAGTCGAATTTTGTTTGTATATATATTTTTTAATTAATAAACAACTAAAAGCTGAAATGTCTTGAATCAATAAGTATTCAACCCCTTTGTTATGACAAGCCTAAATAAGTTCAGGATTTAAAAATGCGCTTAACAAATCACATAATAAGTTGCATGGACTCACTCTGTGTGCAATAACATGATTTATGAATGACTACCTCATATCCGTACCCCGCACATACAATTATCTGTAAGGTCCCTCAATCGAGTAGCGAATTTCAAGCACAGATTCAAACACAAAGACCAGGGAGGTTTTTCAATGCCTCGCAAAGAAGGGCACCGATTGGTAGATGGGTAAAAATAAAAAAGCAGACATTGAATATCCCTTTGATCATGGTGAAGTTATTAATTACACTTTGGATGGTGTATCAATACACCCAGTCACTACAAAGATGTAGGTGTCCTACCCAACTCAGTTGCCGGAGAGGAAGGAAACTGCTCAGGGATTTCACCATGAGGCCAATAGTGCATTTGAAACAGTTACAGAGTTTAATGCCTGTGATAGGACAAAACTGAGGATGGATCAACAACATTGTAGTTACTCCACAATACTAACCTAATTGACAGAGTGAAAAGGAAGCCTGTACAGAATAAAAATATATTCCAAAACATGCATCCTGTTTGCAACAAGGCACTTAAGTAATACTGCTAAAAAATTGCAAAGTGTTTAATTTGGGGAAAATCCAATGTAACACATCACTGAGTAGCACTCTTCATATTGTCAAGCATGGTGGTGGCTGCATCATGTTATGGGTATGCAGGACAATAGCCTAAAACACAAGGCCAAATCTACACTGGAGTTGCTTACCAAGACAACATTGAATGTTCCTGAGTGGCCTAGTTACAGTTTTGTTAGTTACAGCCACTTATAATCGACTTGAAAATCTATGGCAAGACTTGAAAATGGCTTTAGTAATGATCAACAACCAACTTGACAGAGCTTGAAGAATTCAAAAAAGAATTATGGGCAAATATTGTACAATCCAGGTGTGCAAAGCTCTTAGGAGATTTACCCAGAAAGACTCACAGCTGTAAACACTGCCAAAGGTGTTTCTAACATGTCTTGTCTCAGGGGGGTGAATACTTATCTAATCAAGATATATTAGTGTTTTATTTTTCATTTATTATTTCTGAATGTTAAAATTTTTCTTCCACTTTGACATTAGAGTGTGTTGTATAGATCGTTGACTAACAATGACAATTAAATACATTTTAATCCCACTTTGCAACACAAGAAAATGTGGAAAGAGTTAAGGGGTTCGAATACTTTCTGAAGGCCCTGTACATTCACAGATTGGAGATCGTACTGTGATTGAATAATGTGCATGCATTGTCCCTGTCAAACAAATGTAATAAATACCATTAAATGATGCGCGTTTTACCAACTGGGAATACATAGTCACACGCATGCATAACTCCCCAGTACAGTTAAATGTACGGCTAGCACAGCTACAGAGGATGTGGTTAAAGGTACAGCTAGCACAGCTACAGAGGATGTGGTTAAAGGTACAGCTAGCACAGCTACAGAGGATGTTGGTTAAAGGGACGGCTAGCAACAGCTACAGAGGATGTGTTTAAAGGTACGAGCTTAGCACAGCTACAGAGGATGTGGTTAAAGGTAACGGCTAGCACAGCTAAAGAGGAATGTGGTTAAAGTACGGCTATCATCAGCTACAGAGGATGTGGTTCTAAAGGTACAGGCTAGCAACAGGCTACAGAGGATGTGGTTAAAGGTACAGGGCGAGCACAGCTACAGAGGATGTGGTTAAAGGTACGGCGGCTAGCACAGCTACAAAGGAGGCTGTGTTGAAAGGTACCGGCTAGCACAGCTACAGAGGATGTGGTTAAAGGTACGGCTAGCACAGCTACAGAGGATGTGGTTAAAGGTACGGCTAGCACAGCTACAGAGGATGTGGTTAAAGGTACGGCTAGCACAGCTACAGAGGATGTGGTTAAAGGTACGGCTAGCACAGCAAAGGATGTGGTTTAAGTAAGCTACACAGCTACAGAGGATGTGGTTAAATGTACGGCTAGCACAGCTACAGAGGAGTGGTTAAAGGTCGGCTAGGACACAGTACAGAGGTATGTGGTTAAAGTAGGCTAGCACAGCTACAGAGGATGTGGTTAAGGTAGGCTAGCACAGCTTACGAGGATGTTTAAGGTACGGTAGCACAGCTACAGGAGTGGTAAAGGTACGGCTAGCACAGTACAGAGGAGTGGTTAAAGGTACGGCTAGCACAGCTACAGAGGATGGGTTTAAAGTCCCTAGCACCCCCGAATGGATAAATACCCAAGCTACGGGGTTTAAAGGTACGCTAGCACAGCTACAGAGGATGTGCTGTTTTTACCGTTCACAGGTGTGTCCCTTGAAGCGGGTGGACAATGCACTCTCCTGTCTCGTCGTGACAGACCCCTCCGTTAGAGCACAGAGGACAGCTATTTTCACAGCTAGGACCCCACAGGCCAGGCTTGCATTCTAGGATTCAAACATAAAACACTCGTTAGAAAGCAATTCTCCAGGCTAAGGGGGAAAATGTTTGGGGTCTGCAACGGATACACTTTACTTGGGTTGAGTCAGTTCTAAAATGGTCAATTGAATTTCCAATGTAGTTAACAGATGGAAGTTTTCACACAAAACTGACAAAGCAAAAACAGGTTGTTTCGGTAGAATAAGCAACATTGGTTAGTACTACAATAGTATTATGTAGAAGTAGAACTTACAGTAGTATTGGGTAGTACTACAGTAGTATTGGGTAGTACTACAGTAATATTGGGTAGTACTACAGTAGTATTGGGTAGTACTACAGTAATATTGGGTAGTACTACAGTAGTATTGGGTAGTACTACAGTAATATTGGGTAGTACTACAGTAGTATTGGGTAGTACTACAGTAATATTGGGTAGTACTACATTAGTATTGGGTAGTACTACAGTAGTATTGGGTAGTATTGTGTGGTACTAACTTCTGACAATGAGCCTGGTGATGGCTGATGTGGACTTGGCTCCAGCGATGGACCTGGCTGTGTAGAGTCCTGCGTCTGAAGACTTCACTCCATGGACGGGGTACACCAGGATGTCTGGGATCTCATTCTTAGGCACTGAGTGGATGAAGGAGCCTGGAAGAGACAATACGTTTTACTGAGGAGGAGTCCGACGATCAGTGTTAACATGAGGGTGTTGAATATCGTTGACCCGTGGGCTGTGAGTATCGAGCCTCTCAGTGTAGGAGTGCTGATTTAGTGATAGGGTTAGGGACAAACAAACAAATATAAATATTAAGGCTTACATACTGTGAGTAGGAGTGCTGATTTAGTGATTGTAGACGCGACCCTGATCGCATCTATTATAAATCAAATCCGAATCAAATGTACTGGTCACATACACATGGTTTGCGGATGTTATTGCGAGTGTGGCGAAATGCTTGTGCTTCTAGTTCCGACGGTGCAGCAATATCTAGCAAGTAATATCTAACAGATACACAACAAAAACCTGATACACACAAATCTAAGTAAAGGAATGGAGTAGGAATGTTTTGATTGTAAGCATTGGTTGAAGTTCAGTGTTAAATTCAAATCTAGCATCACATCTAAGCCAATATGACACCAATCTCAATGACAATTCACAAATCATCACAAATCAACTTGATTGGAGGTACACAACCCACTCCCCGCCTCTCGTCATGAGCCGTCCGTCCGTTACCGAGAAACACATACCGAATTTTTAACAGGGCCGTTAGCATTAGGTTCGTCCTACAATGTTTTGCCCAGAACGAGCTCAATATCTAGACGTTGGATAAAAACGAGACTAGAGTCTCATAAAAGTGACCATTAGACTTGCCACCTTTCGGACTGAATACGTTTGTAGGGGCAACGGTTTTGATTACATTTATAATTTATCGCCCTCACATGCTCATTTTTTTTTGTCCGTTAAGAGACAACGATGTGTTACCCTTTTTGAAGCATTTCTGACAATACTAGCATCTTTTCAACCGACTCTCAAGAGTTGTACCGCCGGGTTGGTTGCTCAGCAGCTTGCACCAGGCTGCCAGTCATAAGGAGTGTATGGAACAAACCCAGGCTACTGTAGATATCTAGCTACATGCTGGTCTTCAACATCAGGTTAATCAATAAACGCAAGCAGATATTTTCATTAGCTAGGTAGCTAACGTTAGCTAATTTTTTCCCCCCAACATCGGACACCCCTAACTTCGGACACCCCCTAACTTCGGACACCCCCTAACTTCGGACACTCTCTAGCGGTTGGAGGACTAAATCACCTCGAGCTCAGCATTTAAATGGACTGGAAAATAACGGTAAGTTTTGCGACTAACGACACCCTTCTAGCTAGCAAACTTGCTAATTGCTAACCCGTCAGCTAACATTTTTACGACACCAATAATCACATGACATTGATGGCTTGATCACAAGATAACACTGTTGAAGGTAATGTATTTTTTAAACGCTGTTGAATATGCCGATAATACGGGGTTCCACGCTAGCTACATGCTGGTCTTCAACATCAGGTTAATCAATAAACGCAAGCAGATATTTTCGTTAGCTAGGTAGCTAACGTTACCTAGCCAACGTAAGACTAACTCTAGCTACCGTGTATGGCCAGTTCACGCACCACAATATATCATACTTTCTTACAAAAAAACATAGCTAGTTAACGTTAGTTACATTAAGTTTAAAACCACCAAACTTTGGGAAACTGCCACGGTGCTCACAGTGCTCACGGTGCTCATGGTGCTCATGTTCATTTGCATTCCACCCATGCTCTACCAAGGTTTTCCGCAAACAGCCTAATTCTTACTCTTCAGAGAGATAATGGACTTTACAGTGTCCTGCTATTAAAATGATGTATACCGGTATATATACATATTGTATTTTTAGATTTAGTCCTATTGTTACTGTGTATCATTGTTGTTGCCGCCATCTTTATTGCAAAAAATAAATGCAAGTACAAACATATCTTTAAGCTACATATTATTTTGACAGAGATAATGACCTGTCCATTGATCAGCACAGCAACTGATAAAACAGGACCGTGTTTGAAACGCAAGTGGTTCTGATCTTAATTCAATATTACACAGGTAAGCCTAACGGTTAAAGAAATCAGTCATGCAGACAGGCTCTATCTATCTGAGCTACTGTGTCCAACACACCACCTGTTGTTATGTTGGGCACCTACTGACCAAAAAAAAAGGATGTTATTAAGACTTTTAAAAAGTTAATGACAAAAATAAAGGTTTAAGGAAATACATGCATGCACCACATTACTACAAGATAAAACAGCTCAATCAAGCCTGATGGTCTTGTAGGTATAAAAGCAAAGCTTTCTTTCATTTAATTAAAAAAAGCATGAAAAGGTAGCGTAATGGAATAATGTCTTACTGTGGTGTGTGAAGAATCCAATACTTTACCTTGTATGCGGTACAAACCACATTATTGTGGAAGGACCTCCTCTAAGAGTATGAATTAGGCTGTTTGAGAAGGTTTGAATCCTAAACCTACACATCGTTTTGAGGTACAATACCAATACTACACTCTAAAAAATGAGCGGTTCAACAAGGGTTTTTCTAAGATCTTCAAAGTTCGTCGAAGAACCTCAGGGTTCTTGGCACTGAAAATTACCCCCAAAAGGTTCATCGAGGAACCTCCCGAGTTGGTGGGGGTTCTTGCAGGAACCTAACTGCCCAACTGAAACATTTGGATTTGAATATGAAAGGACAGCAGGTGCAGACACTTAACTGAAAAAATTTGAAGATCTCCTCAATTTAAGGTAAGGTTGTAAGGTTGTGTTATTGTTATGCATATTATTATTATTAATACAGCCGTATTATTAATAATAATAATAAGGCAGGGGGGATAGTTCAAAAATGGAAGAACTTATAGGGGTTCCCCCACAGTTTCAATTTGAAGAACCCCTAAAGGATACTCCAGGAACCTTTTCTATTGTACTAGGTCAAAGATGTGTGCCGGAAAACCTTGGTAGAGCATGGGTGGAATAGGCATTGTGATGCTCATCTGAATTTCTTTTTAGGCTTCAGACCGATGCCTATTCTAGGTTAGGGTTAGGGACAAACAAACAAATATAACTATTTAGGCTACATACTGAAAGGTTTACCATTCTTATAGATGACTGCGTCCTCTGCAAACACTTTCCTGCGTGTGAAAGAGATGTTGACATCTTCTCCTATGCTGACTGTGGTGGTCAGGGACTCTGGCAGGAATGCAGCTAGGGGGGGAATAAAAACACAATGATATACTCAGTAACAGGCAGCAGAAACCAGACAGCACAGCGAGAGTTCTTAGTTTTCATAGTTTCTTAGCACAGCGGTCTGGACGAGTTCCCAATAGTTCTTAGAATTCTGCAAGACTTTTGTTGTGTAATTCTGTCACGTACCCACAAATATTAAATAAACAATGAACATAAATAATGTTATTTGTAACTCCCTAATGAAAACAATCAGAAAGAGGATGTATGGTGGTACAGGTTTGCTGTGCCTTTGCAGTGTGACTTTGCAGTGTGACTTAGGGTCCAGAAAGGAAGGCATCAGGCAAACAAACATTTTGTCGGGAAGAGAATGTTCACCCTGTCTGTAGGGTTGACATTGTTTGGGTTTCAGTAGGGAGTCAGAATAACAGTTTATCATGCCAAAAGGGAGGGTGAACGTGTTTCATTTAGAACTTGTTTCATTTAGAACTTGTTTCATTTAGAACATGTTTTCATTTAGAACTTGTTTCATTTAGAACATGTTTCATTTAGGAGTCACTGAAAACCTCAAAACAATATCACATTTTGCTATAGTAAATACAGAACTGTATCAATGCGTTATTACCTTCATTCAGCATCTTATAAGTATATATCTGATTTTTGTCACTCTTTCTGGCCCTGCAGTAGAACTCCCCAAATATATCACTGCGAGTCTTCCATTCGATCTTGGAGGCATGGTGGTAGGCTGTATCGGGGCTGACTGGCAGGCTCTGGGGGTGGGTCAGGGGGAAGTCACGGCCCATACCTAACGGAAATGTACATGTTAAAAATGTGTTGGAAATACAATAACTACACAATAAAACACATTTTATTGTAACAGAAAGTGTATGGTAAAATACTAAAAATGTGTTCTACAAATTTCAACTGTATTGGAAACATGTTTTCAAGTTATTTCACATGCCATGGAACATGTTTGTCACACCCTGATCTGTTTCACCTGTCTTTGTGCTTGTCTCCACCCCCCACCAGGTATCTCCACACCCCACCAGGTGTCTCCACCCCCCCACCAGGTGTCTCCCATTATCCCCAGGGTATTTATACCTGCGTTTTCTGTTTGTCTGTTGCCAGTTCGTCTTGTCCCGTCAAGTCCTACCAGCGTGTTCCCGTGTGTCCAGTGCTCTAGTTTTTCCTAGTCTTCCCAGTTCTGACCTTTCTGCCTGTCCTGACCCTGATCCTGCCTGCCGTCCTGTACCTGCCTGACTCTGATTTGGATTACGACTCTTTGCCTGCCTGGACTTACCTTTTTGCCTGCCGCTTGTTCTGTAATAAACTCTGAGACTCGTACTATCCGCCTCCTGTGTCTGCATCTGGGTCTTAGCCTGAGCCTTGATAGTACGAACTGGCCATGACTGACCCAGCAGACTCTGACCATCTCTGCAACACTGTCTCCTCACAAGGAGCCGCCATTGGAAGACACGAGGAGTTACTACTTAACCTTGGCGGAACACCATGACCATGCCTTCAGTGCATTGTTGGAACAAATCCGCGGACTATCTATAAGGCAGCAAGCCACAACGGAAACCTCCCAGACTGTCAGTAACCCCGCTACCAGCGGTGCTTCTCCCCAGCCTACCCCGGCTTTCCGAGAACCCCGCTTACCTCCTCCGGAGCACTACGCTGGGGATCCCGGAACCTGCGTTTCTCTCCCAGTGCTCCTTCATTTTCGAGCTGCAGCCCTCTTCTTTTCCGTCGGACTGTTCAAAGATAGCGTATCTTATCACGTGATGTCCAGGAGGGCACTCGCCTGGGCTACGGCGATGTTAGGAGCAACAACGCAGCGTTTGCCTCAGGCTGGAGGAGTTTTGTGGCGGAAGTAAGGAAGGTGTCTGACTCTCCGTTGTCTGGGAGAGAGGCTGCTCAGAAGCTACTCCAACTGTGTCAAAACTCCCGTAGTGTGACAGACCACGCGGTAGATTTTCGCAAAGTTCCCGGTCACACTCACTTGTCCACTGCTCCCACCTCGTCTCCGAGGAATCCCGTAAGTTCCCGATGTGCACCTTACCGAGAGAATCCGATGTCACCCGACACCCGAGGGCGGTCGACTCGCCTCCTCCAGAGCCCAAGCTACCGGGAAGGGCTAGATTGTCTCCGGATGAACGTTTACGCAGATTGAGCACCAGGAGCTGTCTGTATTGCGGGACTACAGGACATCATATTTCCACCTGTCCATTAAAAAGACAGGACTCATCAGTAGGTGAGCTCTGGTGAGCCGTACAGGGATTTTCCAATCTCCCATTACTCGTACCCCTCTCCATTCCACCTTGTTGTGGGGTGACCAGGCCAAATCTGCTCATTGACTCTGGGGCCGACGAGAGCTTTATCAACGCTACGTTGGTGTCGGATTTGGGAATCTCCACTCAACCCCTCTTCATTCCCATGGACGTCAGAGTGCTGGATGGGCGCTCTATTGGCAGAGTCACCCGCAATACGGTTCCTATCAACCAACGAGTATCAGGAAATCACAGTGAGTGTATGCAGTTCCTGCTCATAGAATCTCCCCATGTACCCGTGGTTTTGGGGCATTCATTGCTCCAGAAGCACAATCCCCTGATCGACTGGGCTACTGGTTCGGGCGTAGGTTGGAGCCCGTTCTGCCATGTGTACAGCCAGCCCCGAGACGTCTTCCTGCAGGCTTGGGAGAAGAAGGACAGAACCCTGCGCCCGTGTATTGACTACCGGGGCCCTAATGACATCACGGTTAAAAACCGTTACCCTCTACCACTCATCTCCTCGGCTTTCGAACCTCTTCAGGGAGTAACCATGTGCTCAACGTTGGACCTTCGGAACGCCTACCATCTGGTTTGGATACGGGAAGGAGACGAGTGGAAGACAGCCTTTAACACAGCTAGTGGGAACTATGAGTACTTGGTTATGCCATTCGGACTGACCAACGCTCCCACTGTGTTCCAGGCCCTGGTCAACAATGTGCTCCGGGACATGCTGAACTGGTTCGTGTTTGTCTACCTCGCAGACATCCTTGTTTTTTCCCGTTCAGCTTGAGAGCACGTCCTCCACGTCCGACAGATCCTTCAGCGTCTCCTGGAGAACCAGCTTTTCGTCAAAGCGGAGAAGTGTGGATTCCATCGCACCATCATCTCCTTCCTAGGATACGTCATCGCTGCAGTACACATACAGATGGTTCCAGACAAGGTGAGAGCGGTGGTGGATTGACCTCAACCCACATCCAGAGTGCAGCTGCAACGTTTCCTGGGATTTGCTAACATCTACCGCTGCTTCATCTGGGGTTACAGAACCCTGCTTACAGCACCCTGCTTACAGCACCCTGGTTACAGCACCCTGGTTACAGCACCCTGGTTACAGCACCCTGGTTACAGCACCCTGGTTACAGCACCCTGGCTACAGCACCCTGGTTACAGCACCCTGGTTACAGCACCCTGGTTACAGCACCCTGGTTACAGCACCCTGGCTACAGCACCCTGGCTACAGCACCCTTGTTACAGCACCCTGGTTATAGCACCCTGGCTACAGCACCCTGGCTTCCGCCCCTCTCAGCACTCACCTCTCCCAAGGTTCCATTCATGTGGTCGCCAGCAGCTGACAGGGAGTTCTTGGACCTCAAACATCGATTCACTACAGCCCCCATTTTAATCCATCCGGACCCGTCCCGTCTGTTCGTGGTGGAGGTCCAAACATCGATTCACTACAGCCCCCATTTTAATCCATCCGGACCCGTCCCGTCAGTTCGTGGTGGAGGTCCAAACATCGATTCACTACAGCCCCCATTTTAATCCATCCGGACCCGTCCCGTCTGTTCGTGGTGGAGGTCCAAACATCGATTCACTACAGCCCCCATTTTAATCCATCCGGACCCGTCCCGTCAGTTCGTGGTGGAGGTCCAAACATCGATTCACTACAGCCCCCATTTTAATCCATCCGGACCCGTCCCGTCAGTTAGTGGTGGAGGTCCAAACATCGATTCACTACAGCCCCCATCTTAATCCATCCGGACCCGTCCCGTCAGTTCGTGGTGGAGGTCCAAACATCGATTCACTACAGCCCCCATTTTAATCCATCCGGACCCGTCCCGTCAGTTCGTGGTGGAGGTCCAAACATCGATTCACTACAGCCCCCATTTTAATCCATCCGGACCCGTCCCGTCAGTTAGTGGTGGAGGTCCAAACATCGATTCACTACAGCCCCCATTTTAATCCATCCGGACCCGTCCCGTCAGTTTGTGGTGGAGGTCGATGCCTCGGATGTCGGAGTGGGGGCCCAGCGTTCTGCCCAGGACCAAAAGCTGCACCAATGCGCTTTTCTCTCCCATCGTCTTACCCCTGCTGAGAGGAACTATGATGTGGGAAATCGAGAACTCCTCGCCGTCAAGATGGCTTTGGAGGAGTGGAGGCACTGGTTGGAGGGGGCAGAACACCCATTCTTAGTGTGGACTGACCATAAGAACCTGGAATATCTCAACACCACTAAGCGCTTCAACTCTAGGCACGCTCGTTGGGCCCTGTTATTCACCCGTTTCAATTTCACTCTCCTACCACCCAGGGTCCAAGAATGTGAAGCCTGACACACTCTCAAGTTTGTATAGCCCCGCTGCTTCTCTGTCAGGCTAACTGGATGTTTGTCCCGGACTCTGCCCGTTCCCCGGTCCTGGAATGGGCACATTCCTCGAGACTGACATGCCATCCAGGCTCCCGTCGGACCCTGGCTTTCATCCGACTACGCTTTTGGTGGCCTTCCATGGTTCCTGATGTCTCCACATTCGTCACCGCCTGCACTGTGTGTGCACAAAACAAGACTCTGCGGCAAGCCTCGGCTGGCCTTCTTCAACCACTCCCTGTTCCTCACCGCCCCTAGTCCCATATATCCCTGGACTTTGTTACTGGTCTTCCTCCATCAGATGGCAACACCACGATCCTGACGGTGGTGGATAGGTTTGTCTAAAGCCGCCCATTTTATTCCCCTTCCCAAGTTACCCTCAGCCAAGGAGACGGCTCAGCTCATGGTGGAGCACGTCTTCCGGATCCATGGACTTGCGGTCGACATGGTCTCCGATCGTGGTCCTCAGTTCTCGTCCCGGTTCTGGAAGGCGTTCTGCATCCTCATTGGGTCGTCGGCCAGCCTGTCCTCTGGTTTTCACCCCCAATCGAATGGCCAGTCGGAGCGAGCCAATCAGGACCTGGAGACGGCTCTTCGTTGCCTCGTCTCCGCCAACCCTACCACTTGGAGACAGTAACTTGTGTGGATGGAATATGCACGTAACACCCTTCCCTGCTCAGCCACTGGTTTCTCGCCCTTCGAGTGTTACTTGGGATATCAGCCCCCGCTCTTCCCTGAGCAAGAGGAAGAAGTCAGCATATCCTCTGCCCAGATGTTTGTCCGCCGCTGTCGCCGTACCTGGAAGAGAGCCCAGGCCGGTCTTATGAAGACCACATCCAGGTATCGGCGACAGGCGGATCGCCACCGGATCCCTGCTCCCCGCTATCGGCTCGGGCAAAGGGTATGGCTTTCCACTCGGGACCTGCCCCTCCATGGTGGAGCCCCGAAAACTTTCCCCCCTGTTTCATCGGCCCTTTCTCCATCTCTAAAATCCTTAACCCTTCTGCTATTCGTCTTCTGTTGCCCCGTACCCTCCGCATACATCCCACTTTTCATGTGTCTAGGATTAAACCTCTGTCTCACAGCCCTTTGTCTCCTGTTTGTCTGTTGCCAGTTCGTCTTGTCCCGTCAAGTCCTACCAGCGTGTTCCCGTGTGTCCAGTGCTCTAGTTTTTCCAAGTCTTCCCAGTTCTGACCTTTCTGCCTGTCCTGACCCTGATCCTGCCTGCCGTCCTGTACTTGCATGACTCTGATTTGGATTACGACCCTTTGCCTGCCTTGACCTACCGATTGCCTGCCGTCCTGTACCTGCATGACTCTGATTTGGATTACGACTCTTGCCTGCCTTGACTTACCTTTTTGCCTGCCGCTTGTTCTGTAATAAACTCTGAGACTCGTACTATCCGCCTCCTGTGTCTGCATCTGGGTCTTAGCCTGAGCCGTGATAATGTTAGAATTGCAAAGGGAATGTGTTCATCTTGTGTGAAAGTCCCATCCCATACCCAGGGTACTGCTGGAGCTGGAGGCAGCACTGTCCTGCCGGGAGGTCCAGTCACTACTGACACAGTGGAGGGAGGAGTCTGATGATGTCACCATGGGGTCAGGGTTCACCAAGGTCAGGTCCGCTATGTCTAGGGCATCACCTGGGACAGACAGACAAGCACACACACACACACACACACACACACACACACACCATTTACAAAAGGAGATAAGTATCAGAGATAGTGGACATGAGACAAAGTGAAAAGAAATTGCTCATTTGTTTGGGAAATGACATCATTTGTAAACAAAGGTGTACCGTTTCTCATCATTGACCTCGTCATGATATTGAGGACATTGGTATCAGTATAACACATTGACCTCGTCATGATATTGAGGACATTGGTATCAGTATAACACATTGACCTCGTCATGATATTGAGGACATTGGTATCAGTATAACACATTGACCTCGTCATGATATTGAGGACATTGGTATCAGTATAACACATTGTATCACCAAATACCGTGTCTGATTGAATAGTTAGATACTACTGCACTGTTGGAGCTAGGAACACAAGCATTTCGCTACACCCGCAATAACATCTGCTAAAAATATGTATGCGACCAATCAAATTTGATTTTATTTGATTTACTCTCTATACTGATAAACTTTATATACACTTAGACAGCACAAACAGATCTGGGACCAGGCTTTGTACGTTATGGTATCATTCAAGACAGCACAAACAGATCTGGGAGCAAGCTAATACACTCTATAGTATCATATAATAATAATAATAATATGCCATTTAGCAGACGCTTTTATCCAAAGCGACTGACAGTCATGCGTGCATACATTTTTTTTTTGTGTATGGGTGGTCCCGGGGATCGAACCCACTACCTTGGCGTTTCAAGCGCCGTGCTCTACCAGCTGAGCTACAGAGGACCACATCCCAGTAGTCAGGTTACGGCTGGGGGGCGGGGTTTGGTCTGTAGTGAACTGTACTGTATGACTTTACGGTGGTACAGCAGAGTAGCCAAGACGAATGCTAAAGTGTATTTTTGTAGCTTTCTTTTTGCACACTATCAACAGTAGCCAGCATATTGCTAGTATGTTCATTATTGAAGGTTTTACTTTTGTAAATCACTTTCCCCTAAAATAAATATGCTCAGTGAGTAGATTGATGGGCTCTTCTCTTTGCTCAGAACACCTAGCGTGTGCTGTTTGAACGTAGCGATCCACTTCTGTATTGCTCGAAAGTTGTGACTCGCGTTGAATGAACAACCAATCATATTGCTGAAATACAAATAGCATGACTTTTCTGCGTGTAGCCTTCAATGGTAGACCGCGACAGAGCACGGATATGTTGACCTGGAAGACGAAAATGCGCTGAGAAGGAACTGGCCCGGTCGGTGCTGGGGCAAGTACTGGGGGCAAATGCTGTCTCGCCAGATGTTTTCTGGCAGCTCTGCACCTAGCGAACGTTAACGGAAGCCACCTAGAAGCCAAAGCTCACCTTAGCCACAACTAATTGGAATTCGCAACATATCATACATATTGCAAATTCATAACATATTGTAAGAATTGCAAATCGTAACGTATAATACAAAATGTAATATCTTAACATATCAGATGATGAACATCCACAAATTAATACATTCCAACCAAACGTAACATATCATCCGGAGACATTTGAAACCCCACCTCTTTAAGGAATACCTGGGATAGGATAAAGTAATCCTTCTAGCGCCCCCCCCCCCAAAAAAAATAAAATAAATAACCATTGTAAAGTGGTTATCCCACTGGCTATAAGGTGAATGCACCTATTTGTAAGTCGCTCTGGATAAGAGCGTCTGCTAAATGACGTAAATGTAAATGTAATATCATACTTATTTGAGTGTCTCAGATTTCTGTTTACTATGTAGCTTCTACCCATGAGTTCATTGTAGCTACCCTGATATGGTATCAGCTCCATCACATCTATCATCATTAGTTGTGACAATCAGCTAATACATACGGTCTGTGGTGGTTCCCTGTTATCTCCCTAATGTATGGAATCAATGGAATGTTTATAGGTGAGAGTTAATTTCATTGAGACCATGGGGAGACCGTGGGGAGACCGTGGGGAGACCATGGGGAGACCGTGGGGAGACCATGGGGAGACCATGGGGAGACCGTGGGGAGACCGTGGGGAGACCGTGGGGAGACCGTGGGGAGACCATGGGGAGACCGTGCCCATCTGAACTCAATTGACTTGTTGCCAGTTTTCCCCTCCAGCAGCCATTGGGCTCACATATAAAGCCGGAAGCATCTGAGATTAATCTGCATCATTCAGATCAAAATGCCCAATGCATAGCTCTGTCATGACCATGACCAGAACCATTCCTCTAGCTGTAAATCAGCACCAGCTCTTCTCTCCTTTCAAGTGACTAGTGGGAGGGGGGGGGGGGGGGGGTGATATCCATCCACCTAAAGTACCCTGACTAGTTGGTCAGGCAGGAATGATGGGTCAGTGTTACAAAGCCGTTCTGGCTTTGACTGTTATCTGTCTCTGAGCTAGCTGTGATTTACAACTGGTGGAGAGCAGAGGTTGTGGATGGGAGAGTACAGCAGAGAGAGAGAGAGAGAGAGAGAGACAGAGACAGACAGACAGACAGACAGACAGAGCGTAAGAGAGAGAGAGAGAGAGAGAGAGAGAGAGAGAGAGAGAGAGAGAGAGAGAGAAAGAGAAAAAAGAGAAAGGGATGCAGCTTGAGTCCCACCCTCTTCAACATATACACTACATGACCAAAAGTATGTGGACACCTGCTCGTCTAACATCTCATTCCAAAATCATGGCCATTAATATGGAGTTGGTCCCTCCTTTGCTGCTATAACAGCCTCCACTCTTCTGGGAAGGCTTTCTACTAGATGTTGGAACATTGCTGCGGGGACTTGCTTCCATTCAGCCACAAGAGCATTAGTGAGGTTGGGCACTGATGTTTGGCGATTAGGCCTGGCTCGCAGTCGGCGATCCAATTCATCCCAAAGGTGTTCGATGGGGTTGAGGTCAGGGCTCTGTGCAGGCCAGTCAAGTTCTTTCACATGGATCTCGACAAACCTTTTTTGTATGGACCTCGCTTTGTGCACGGGGGCATTGTCATGCTGAAACAGGAAAGGGCCTTCCCCAAACTGTTGCTACAAAGTTGTAAGCACAGAATCGTCTAGAATGTCATTGTATGCTGTAGCGTTAAGATTTCCCTTCACTGTAACTAATGAGCCTAGCCCGAACCATGAAAAACAGCCCCAGACTATTGTTCCTCCTCCACCAAACTTTACAGTTAGCACTATGCATTCAGGCAGGTAGCGTTCTCATGGCATCCGCCAAACCCAGATTTGTCCGTCAGACTGCCAGATGGTGAAGCGTGATTCATCACTCCAGAGAACGCTTCTCCACTGCTCCAGAGTCCAATGGCGGCGAGCTTTAAACCACTCCAGCCGACGCTTGGCATTGCGCATGGTGGTCTGAGGCTTGGTGCGGCTGCTTGGCCATGGAAACCCATTTCATGAAGCTCCCGACGAACAGTTATTGTGCTGACGTTGCTTCCAGAGGAAGTTTGGAACTCGGTAGTGAGTGTTGCAAACGAGGACGGACGATTTTTACGCGCTACGCGCTTCAGTACATCGGCGGTCCCGTTCGGTGAGCTTGTGTGGCCTACCACTTCGCGGCTGAGCCGTTGTTGCTCCTAGACGTTTCCACTTCACAATAACAGCACTTACACTTACTTCTGTAAATATAGCGTATATCAATGAATTGGCGAGGGCACTAGAACAGTCTGCAGCACCCGGCCTCACCCTACTAGACTCTGAAGTCAAATGTCTACTGTTTGTAGATGATCTGGTGCTTCTGTCACCAACCAAGGAGGGCCTACAGCAGCAACTAGATCTTCTGCACAGATTCTGTCAGACTTGGGCCCTGACAGTAAATCTCAGTAAGACAAAAATAATGGTGTTCCATTATTGCCAGGACCACAAATGCAAATTCCAGCTAGACACTGTTGCCCTAGAGCACACAAAAAACAATACATTTTTTTACTCATTTAGCAGACACTCTTATCCAGAGCGACTTACAGTTAGTGAATACATATATTTTTTTTATACTGGCCCCCCTTGGGAATCAAACCCACAACCCTGGCGTTGCAAACACCATGCTCTATCAACTGAGCTACATCCCTGCCGGCCATTCCCTCCCCTACTCTGGACCAATTGTGCGCCGCCCATGAGTCTCCCGGTCGCGGCCGGCTGCGACAGAGCCTGGATTCGAACCAGGATCTCTAGTGGCACAGTTAGCACTGCGATGCAGTGCCTTAGACCACTGCGCCACTCAGGAGGTTACCTATCTTAGCCTAAACAACAGCGCCACAGGTAACTTCCACAAAGCTGTTAACGATCTGAGCGACAAGGCAAGAAAGGCCTTCTTCTAAAGGAACATAACATTTTACATCCCAATTAGGATCTGGCTAAAAATGTTTGAATCAGTTATAGAACCCATTGCCCTCAATGGTTGTGAGGTCTAGGGTCCACCAAGAATTCACAAAATGGGACAAACATCAAATTGAGACTCTGCATGCAGAATTCTGCAAAAGCATTCTCTGTGTACAACGTAAAACACCAAATAATGCTTGCAGAGCAGAAAAGAGCAATTCAATTTGACTAAAAGGAAGCTATTCTCAAACCTTCCATAACAAAGCCCTCACCTACAGAGAGATTAACCTGGAGAAGAGTCTCCTTAGCCAGCTTGTACTGGGACAGTTCACAAACACAAACAGAGCCCCAGGACAGCAACACAATTAGACCCAACCAAATCATGAGAAAATATAATTACTTGACACATTGGAAAGAACTAACAAAAAAAACAGAGCAAACTAGAATGCTATTTGGCCCTAAACAGAGAGTACACAGTGGCAGAATACCTGACCACTGTGACTGACCCAAACTTAAGGAACGCTTTGACTATGTACAGAGTCAGTGAGCATGGCCTTGCTATCGAGAGAGGCTGCCATCGGCAGACCTAGTTCTCAAGAGAAGACAGGCTATGTGCACACTGCCCTCAAAATGAGGTGGAAACCGAGCTGCACTTCCTAACCTCCTGCCAAATGTATAACCATATTAGAGACACATATTTCCCTCAGATTACACAGACCCACAAAGA